GTGATGTCTATAGTCTCAGAGGTATTTCGGAAAACCAACATTGGTCGTGTTTGTTCAAATACATTGAGTATGTAACCCAGTGCAACAGTATGGCTCTGAGTCTGACAAGCATTTAATAGTTTTTAGACAACATATAGTTATATCAGATGGAGCCATAAGCTGGTATCAGGCTGTGGCTACACAGGAAACACTTGTTATCTGCTGTAACAGGGGCAGACCTTCCCCCAATGCTGCTTGTGGTCTCTGTACACAGGTCTGACCCTGTTTCCACACAGCCTGTGGGAGAATGCTACACTTTGGTGTCATTTTGCAACTGTTCACTCGCAGTGCTGCCACCATAGTAAACAGAGAAATAGATCTTCCATGCCCCTAAATCATGTAGTATGTGAAAAGACTCATCACGGAATTTCTCTGCATAGTTCAATAATTACACAATAACCATTAATGCTGCAGGTAGACTGGTGTGTGCCCTTTTTAAAGCATGCATAAGTTAGCGGTAATCAATATGGAGTTATAGAACAAAGGGTCTAAAAAATACTATAACTATTTAAAAAATGTGTTTGCTTTTCAAATATTTCTTGTTTTGTCTAGATAAATAGAAACAGATAGGTAGAGACCATTTTAAATTAATGCAATAGGTTAGAAATGTGAGTCTGAATAGTTTTTGAAGTCTGTAAATGCAATTCAGATGTAAAGATTAAAACAGAGCGGGGCCATTGTACATCGTGCAGCAGTGTCAGGTTCTTGTTTCTGGCTTTAAAAGACACAGAGGCTGCAGAAATAATGATGCTTACACAAAACACTAACCTGAGTGCCACTACTCGTCCTTCTTGAATTTGCCGCTGACGTAGGGGACATAATCCAATATCACTCGCCAGTCTGTGAAGTGGACGAGAGCTACGCCTCCAGCTGTGCCCCATGCAGCCAGAGTTGGGATCCTGTGGAGCAAACAACACTGTCAAGATTAAGCAACTTTACTTCAAATTAAGGTGAATGAAATGATCTGAGAACAAACTGAATTCAGTGAATGTAAATGGTGATTTTAAGGACAAACATCCATGCAAACATCACACGCCTTGTTGACTCCTTAAGAGATAAGTATTGGAACAACTTATTGAGTAATGCATGCATGAAATGAGCAACTTTAACTTCTATAGTCAACTATTATACTTGTTGTGTTAAAATAAAAACAGATTTACTGGCTACAGCTTCACAAATACAAACACACCGTTTCACATCATTAATAGCTTGTTACACAAAACACAGATTTAAGGACACTGATTTGTCCTGATACCTGATGACTGTGGACAAAACGAATAATGGATCTATATAATCTATAACGAAACCAATAGCTTCAGCCCTTTAGGAGAGATCAGTGGATCAGTTGGTTAGTTGATTAGCATAAAGCTATTCAAACTGAATAACAAACGTATGGAATTCACATTTTGCTGTCATGCTGAAAAAAGTCACTGTGGGATAAGATAACACTGACTTTGTTTCTTACTTCATAACGGTCATTTTATGCATCTTTAGGCCGAGATTAGCTGCCAGGTAGCTAAAGTCAGCATGTCCCCAAAGCAATGACCTCGGCTAAGCTAACAGCTAATGTTAGCTAAGGACACATCGAGACTCCGTTTAACAAAAGTCTGACTTATTCCCGCCTTTTACTACTAATAAGATATTAAAGAAACATCTTACCATAATTTAGCAATAGCTACATACTTCGCACCGATCACTTTACTGATCATTTTGGCAGGAATATGTCCTCCTAACGTTGGACGTGCCGCTTTAAGAGTTTAGAAGAACTTCCGGTACTGGTTTGCTCATTACGCCTAGTGCGCATGTGCGTGGGGTAACTTCCGGTTACTCTAAAATAAAAGTGCAATGGATAAACCCAAATAGCATGGATACCATACTCGCCCATGGTTTCGTCCTACCGCCGCCATTTTGGACTGTCAGCAGACGGCAGCAGACCCGCTTGCATACAAAAACACACAGACAAACGGAAGTATATCGCTATTAATTATGCTTACAATGCTACTCACCTCGTGATAGCTTGGTCACAGCTGCTTTTTCACGTTTTTGTAAAGCAAAATATGGACTTCAAAAAAAAAAAAAAAAAAAAAAAAAAAAAAAAAAAAAAAAAAAAAAAAAACACGAAGAAAAACGGCCGAGACGGCATCTCTACATATTACATCCACTTATGAGAATTACTCCTTCAAAATCACCCCATAAGACAATCTACCAAAAAATAAAATCAATATTTTTACCAGAAACCATAGCTAGAAACACATTAATGGTGACGCCACAGCCAGGAATAAAGATTTATTTACAGTTTGTACAGTAATAATAATAATAATAATAATATAGACTATTTTAATATGATAGGCTATATTTTAATGCTAAAGCAGTAATCAGTTCTGATATAAATGGTCCAGGAGGCCATATATATATATATATATATATATATATATATATGTGTGTGTGTGTGTGTTACCTTCCCTCCAAAACTGGCATATTAAATTGATATTAAAACACTTTAAAACGTACACCTCAGGAGTTCTTACCTGTCGGGATCCTTCAGGAAACGGTGGAAGGCCAGGTGCGGGGTGTTCCACTGATAGTTGTTGCAGTTAATTGCACTACACTGTTTTCTTACTTTTTTTCTCTTCTCTCCTTGACATCTTGCATGTTGTCTGGGCGCAACAGTCCAAGCTCAACAGTCCAAAATGGCGGCAGCGCTACCGCGGCGCCCCTAGTGGCTGTTGGCAAAAATTCAACGGAGCTTCGCCTCTTGGTATCCATGCTCTTTGATAAAACTGAGGAGCAGCTTCCCGAGTTTCCCCATTTGTTACACCTTTATTATTCCAGTTTAGAATAAATTATTAATTATTATTCCAGATGCTGCTTTATTCTACATATATGTGTGTTAATTTAAAATGTCAAATATTAATTTACACACAGCGAACAAGGTAGCTTTTCTGCATAGGAGGGCTGAAGACTCTACTTTATATAAATTTACGATATAGAATTATCAATATTGTTTAAAAATAATGGACATTTATGAAACCTTATAAAATTAGATTTTGATATAAATTTAAATATATATATATACGCTTTTAATGGCGGTTGGCAAACTAGTTTTTACGTGCATTACTGCCACCTGCTGGATTGGAAGCTGTTATTAACTACCTTCTGTCTTCATCACATCTGTTGCCATCTATCAGTAGTTTTGACATTTTCCAGTCATTATAGTGTGTAAATATACCAGGAGGGCTCTTGCCTATCTATTTAGTTAATTTAATCCAGTATGTCATATTCTCAGATGGGGAATAACCATCTCTTCTCTTGGGGCTTCTACTCCATATTCCACCAACATCTGCATGTTTTTAAATACTGTAAATATGTCTTCCTGTGTCACTTAAGTCCCAGTATTCCTGCCAGGTTTGTGCAATATGTATTCAACTGAGTGCGGTGTGCTTTAGTGGCGATGGAAGATGAGCTCACAGTGGAGCTAATTTCTGCGCCGCAGTGAACAAATCATGCTGTGGTGCTGCCGTGAAAGCATGCCTACCTAACTGGTCTGTCCCGGCTGGGTAAACCCAATTTCACAAACAAAACATTGAATGGAGCAACCTCTACCTGGTTGCATTGCAAAAGGGAAAATACATATGTGTTTTCAAATGTCTTGGTTTTAAAAAGAGACATTTTGTTTGTTATTAAAAATGGCACATTTATTGCTACATTACTGTTATATACACAACAGTTCTCTATATCTACTTTATATATAAAAAATAGGAAACTGGAGGCACTTTGAGGACATAGCCTACATAGATGTTGTCCCCAAACATGAGTGAAGACAGAGAGATTTGTAGCAGTTCATCTGTTGTGAAGGACAGAAAGGGTTCTGTTAAAAACAAAAAAAATATCTGGTGCATGATTTGATCCTCGGATACTGCAGAAAAAACTTTCATGTAAAGAAATAAAAAGTACAAGTCTTCAGTAGAGATTTTTCATATCACAACAAACACCACGTTTTTTCTGCCGAAAGGTTAGAGTAACTGAAAGGTAATGCTTGGGGCTCGTCCGCGGGGCGGGATCTGTGACAAAACATGACAGGTAGAAACCAAATACTGTTACATATCAGTATCAGCTTACAATGATAAAGCTGACGTATCATACAGCTGTACATACATATCAATGCACATGCCAGTCAAGGACAAAATTATACTTAACAAAATCAGTACATAAAAGATGAAACATTTTAAGTAGTTTTCAGCGTCAAAGTTGAATACCAGGGGTCTCATTTATAAACTGCGTGCGACACTTCCCACGCAGGAGTTTTGATCTATAAAAACAGACTTGATTGGAGAAGCTTTGACCCATGCTTATAAACAGTTAGAGATGGGAAAATGGCGACACAGATGGAGAAATTATTGTTGCACGCACATTTTTAGTATAGATCCAACGTATTCTTATAAATGAGATCCCTGGTTATTAGTCATCTTACATTTAATGACATGGACACTGAAGCAGTCAGCGTCACTGAGTGTAATTCTTCATTTAGATGTTCTGAGACACTGTCAGATGAAGTATATATGTTTTATACATCTGTAATATAAAAAGGTACAACCTATAAATCCTCAAATGCAACGTCATCCACCATGTAGCAGTGAAGTATTCAGGCACTGGTGAGTAACCATTATCAAAACTCCCAAAGTCAGGAAAATGACTAAGGCCACCCTATTTGATTCATTTTATGCTTCATATCACAATGAAACAGTGAATTATGTTGCAGATTGTGCAGACCGCCCCCGCTGCCCCTTCCTCAAACTAATCAACACGCTCATCAGAGAGCTGGACATCAGGGAGCGGAGAGGGGGGCGTGCTGAAGAAAAATATTGTTTCATTTAAGAAAAAAAAAATCTGTCGCAAACACCAGAACCATCCAATTACAACTGGCCTGACAGCTTTGTGCTGAAACATGCATTGTGTTTTTTGTTTTTTTTTAAAGAGAGCAATATCACAACATGTGATGTTACAGCCAGATAAGTTTGTCATTTCTAACATTTCTAAGCACCTGGCACGAAAAGAAAAACACCTCACTTTGTTCCTGGAATCTAAAAATTGAGAGTCGTGTTACATTTAAACAATGTAAACAAAAAATAAAGAAAAAGCATTCCAAAATGATAAAAACAAAACTCATACAACTATTTTACAAAGTAAAAAATAAAACAATTAAAAAAAAAGGTAAATCAATTCTACAAAAGGAAGATCCTCACAACAGGCTTTGCAGTTGTTCAAAAGGGGAAAACAAAAACACGTAATTCTCAACACACAGCAACAACCAAAACAAGTCCGTCAATGGCGAGTAAATTCTCTACAGGGCAGCAGAACACTCATGATCCCTTTCAATACTCAATTATTTCTGTCTTCTGGCAAAATGTGACACAAATCGCTCCGAGACTTCAGTTTAGTAAGTTCACCATGCTGTAACAGAGTCTTTAGGTGTGGTGTGACAGGGGCAGGCTGAGAGTGACTGACTTCATCATGGAGCTGAGCAGTGAGGATGACATCTGAACGCTCGAGTCCAACCGGTCAGGATGTGCACGTTTGAGTCAACATCACTGTGGTTCCTGGATCTGTATCGAGTCTTTGCTCGCGTTTGTGTCAGTGGAGGGTCTCTCTCCGGCTGTCTTTTCGTTCCACTTGCATGGCAGTGACCATAACAGATGTACAGGACTTAAGAGATAAGACTCCACAGTTAAAAATAAAGAAAAAATAACCCATCACGTGTGTGTGAGCCAGTGACTGTGGCACCTTTTCAGCCAAAGCAAGAAATTTAAAAAACACATCCAGAAATACAAAAAAGGTGTCAGCTCTCTGATTGCCATTTAGTAGCTGGATGTCTCCAAACCTGCCTCTGTAATTCAGTCATCACGTGAGAAATAATAATGATGGCTATTTCATCTTAAACACTATGCATTAGGCCTCTTGTGGGCACGCTTTAACGGGTTCATAAACCCAGTGTCCCTCTTTGCCTGTGAAGAATGTAAGACCTGCTTTTCAGATGGGAATGCCAATAATCATCCAACAATACAAACCCTAACTCTGCTCACACAAGCAGTTGATCCAAAAAGTTTCATTTGATCCAAACAAGTTTTGCTCCCAACAAGTAAAAGCAATTTTTCCAAAGTGTCTTACAAAAACACGATCGTAAGAATGTCCTCATATCCAATTTTCCGCCGTCTCCAAACCGCTGTCCTCGGTTCAAAGTGTTGTCACGTTAAAGTTAATACATTTCCGCTCATTCTGCGAGAGTGTGCTTGTTACTTTTGTATTCGTAGTCAGGAATGTGGCCACCTGCTTTGTCAGTAATGAGGTGTGTGTGCGTGTGTGCTTTCCAAGAGTTGATTAACACACACTGAGATGCATGACAATGATAGATTAAGGCCACGTGTTCTAAGGGCTGTACAATCAACAGGAACTGGAAGAGAGAAGAGAAAAGACAATGAGTATCTTCACAAAACGAAACCAAGCTATTGTTCAGGCACCATAAATCCCACTGCGCACACTCTGTAGACTGACCTGAGAGTTACATATGTCCATCTCCTCCTAGACCAGGGTGCCCCCCACCCAGCTGCATCTGGGGGTCCACGCCTGAAACTTTCTCCTCCTCTCTCCTCTTGAGGCAGGCAGCCTTTGGGTTCAAATTACGCTCTTTGGGGAAAAGGATCAACACAGAGATTAGACACAGTAAAGGAAGAAGAACAGGACGTCTTGAGATTATCTCACTATGCTTTACCCTCAGGAATCTTTTTAAAAGGTCCAGTTTGTAGGATTGAGGGGGATATACTGGCAGAAATGGAATATAATAAGTGTGTTTTTCTTAGTTTATAATCACCAGAATATAAGAATCATGTTTTCGTTAGCCCAGAATGAGCAAACCAAACACCCACTCTAGATTGGGCCACCTGAATTTTTGCATCAGCCACTGTAGTGAGAAGCCCCTCCGTGATGAACAGCTTTAGAAAAACACTGATCTTTAACGTGAAACTGTTTTATTCAGCGGTTTACTGGTTTAAATCACTAGGTTCATTTGTTTTGGAGAGAGGGAGACCCCTGCTGATAATTCGGCTGCAGGTAAAAACCTCCTGAATGTCTGGATCTTAATTAATCAAAGGAAAAAACATGAGCAGGCGTTAGCAAGTGCTGGGAAAACGGGCTGTCTCTGACATGCCAAACACCATTAGAAAAACACTGATTTTCAACATGAAACTGCTTTATTCAGTGTTTACTGGTCTAAATCAATGTGTACGTTTATTTTGGAGAGGAAAAGACCTCTTTGGATAATTTGGCTCACGGTAAAAACCTCTTGTCTGGATTAGAAATAAGATGAGCACAGATTAAATTGCCAGAGAAAATAGGTGAGCACACATTAGAGTTTGTCTGTGAAGAGCCAAACAGTATCAGAAAAACACTGATTTTTAACATCAAACTGCTTTATTCAGTCTTTTTACCGGTTTTAATCACCTGGCCTAAATGTTTCGGAGAGGAAGAGACCTCTGTGGATAATTCGGCTCCTAGTAACAACTTCCCGAACAATGAACACTGAAGGAGTTTCCTTCCTAACCATGAAGTTTTAGTTGGTTGCAATCTGCAATCCTCACTACTTCATGCCACATAATCCCCCTGAATCTTACAAACTGCTCCTTCAAGACATTAAAGCAGAGTTTTGAGTGCACAAACAGTCAGTAACAGACAAGGAGAACAAAAAAATGGGAAAGGTAAGACAGGAAAATGAGAAGTAAGATGGAAATTGCAGGCGTTTGGCAGAAAGCAGGGATATACTTCCTCAGATATTCTCCCTTTCTCCTCCATTTCTCAAAGTGATACGAGCAAATAGCAGAGAGAGAGTGAAGGCTTCACAGTAAGTGAGAACAAAATTAGAGGAGCGATTTTCCTACAGGTGAGTGACTGGCAACTTGTCCAGCTATGATAAGAGATGGTTGGTTGGTTGATGTGGATCAGACCCTCCTGTATTGGCTGACCTACCTCGCACCTGCTTCTCCAGGCCCATTATGACCTGGACAGCCTGCTGCAGGATGATAAGCTTGGTCTGGGCCTTGTCGCTCTGCAGGTGGACCTGACACATCCTGCCCAGCTCTCTGAAGGCTTCGTTAATGTCGCGCACGCGCACCCTCTCCCTAGCGTTGTTAGCATGGCGGCGCTCGCGTTCCCTCTGCTCCTTCTCCTCGGCAGTCAGGTTCTCATCGGTCACCGAGACAACGCTGCAGCCAGGAGGAGAAGTGGGGGTTGGAGGGGCTGGTTAACAAACCCAAATCACAACCCTTGCTGAACCTAGGCTACAACTGCAGTTACACTCTTTTAAACCTGTAACACAGCTCTTAGTGTGCCTTCCTTCCTCTATATATGATGCTGACCTCAAGCTCTTTACCCAAGATGAGACAGGTGGAACTGCTGAAGAAGATCCCAGTGGAGTGGGGCTGTGCTGCAGGAGAGTGAGCGGAGGGGTGGGAACTGTTTTTGTACATCTAAAATATGAAAATGATAAATAATACATCTAAAAATGAATGGATGTGTTCTCAAGAGCTTTAAGTTTAACTCTAAATGATCTCAAGCCAAGAACACTGACGATCGAGATACAACAGTCGACCTGAGCGACCAGGTCTAATGGATCTGTCCTGAAGTCTAACCAACCAACAACGATTTCTTTTGGTCATTGGGGTCCAGGATGGAAGTTTAGGGGATATGGTGACTGTCCAGCAGAATGAGAGAAGTTATGAAGAGGGAGAGAGAAAGGGAGAGAGAGGAAGCAAAACCCTCTGCCAACATAGAAAGAGCCACAGAGAAAAAAAAGCCAAGAGGAGAGACTGAGGGCATCGTGTTAAATACATCAGCAGCAGGAGATGTATTTATCTGAGTGTGAGGAAGAGGAGGTCACTGTTGATATCTGTAAAAAGAAAATGACAGAGGACGGGGGAGTGAGTGGAGAAATGGAGAGGTTGGTCTCGAAAAAACAGGGTGGCAAAAAAATGAAAGGGTTAATGCTCAAAGGCTGGGACATGCGGCACAGAAACACTGCAACGAAGCTGACGACAGGTTAATACACATGACAACAGACAGCCCTGCTTTCATGCTAACCGGGGTGCCAGTGAACAGACAGGTATGCTATGAGTGGAGGGTTTATAAAAAAAAAAAAGAAGAAGAAAAAAGAAAAGGACATCTTAATGTGAAATAACGTAGAAATTAAAATGACTTTGTGGTTTAACAAAAGCTCGATGAAGGAAAAAGCAAATGAGCACATTAAAAGATGTGTTAATACAGTCAGAGGGCGAGGCAGAGACATGTAAGCATTTACACAGTGGAAACAGACAGCCAATTATAAGACAAGGCAACACATACTGCATCAGAACAAGTAGACGTCCTGTATGTGTTACCAGAGGACGAAAACCTTAGAAGATGAAGTGGAGAATGGGCGTGTCTTAAAACAGTCACACAGCTTCACTTCCTTATGCCGTGTCCTCTTTGCGTGGATCATTTCTGGGATGGACTAGCGCTCACTGGCGTTTGGTTTAGCTGTATTCTGAATTCAGCTACTGTCTTTAAAAATAGATTACACGAAGGGATTGCTTTATTTGTTTCTGTAGTATTTGCTTTGACACCCTGCCCTAAATGAACGCAAGGTGTTTGATTGCATTGTTTTATATTGAAATGTTCTAACTGGCCACGAGCAATGCAGCCTCTGTTTTGACTTTTGTCAGACGCCCTGTTTCTATTTATTCCTGGCGTTCACTTATAAAGCTCCTCAACGGACGAAGAACGGCTGATTTGTGAAGGTGAAATGAGGAGTTATTGACACAACACCTCCTTATTTGACAACAAAAACCTAAATAAGATGGCAGCTGGTTTGAGGGAGATCACCAGGGAGATTAAAGTTTCTGGTAAATAACCATCGCTAAGAACAACCTATTTGCTTTTGGCTATATTGTGTGTCATTTCCAGTAAATGTCACATTATAAAACATGAGTTTTAGGTTTAAAAAGAACAAAGATCGAAAGATAGCAAGTTCTTGCCGATCTTTAAAGTGGTTACATCTTCAGTCGAGCACCCAAGACATAACAGAGGTGCATGTATTTAGTAATCTTTAGAAGTATATGTTTTAAAAGTAACCCCCCTAAAACAGGTGCTCACTGGTATTTAGCAGGCGTAACGTGTTTACCACCACAAGTGGAGTACCATGAATTACCACAAGTAATTTTTCAAAGTTTTATAATGCCTAACAGGATGTGTCAGGAGCTGGGAAGTGAAGCTGTGGGAGAGTTTTATTTTGCAAAAGAGGCCCTTCCCCTCCTCTTCCTTCCTCCCTGGACACCCACTGACCTCGAACTTGCTGCTCCAGGTTGAGAATAACGTTAACGGCCTGTTGCAGCACGATCAATTTGGTCTGCGGTTTCTCGTGGCTCAGATGGAGCTGACACATGCGGCCCAGCTCCTTAAAAGCCTCGTTGATGTCCCGCACCCGTAGCCGTTCACGGGTGTTGTTTGCCATCCTCCTCACTTTCTCCCGCTCAGCCTTAATCTCCACTGGCAGATCTTCATCGTCTTCCTCATCATCCAGACTAGTGAAGAGCCAATGGCAGGTGAGGAGGGAATGAAACAACAGTATGGGTACAGTTCACTGAAAATAAATTCCTAATTATAGTGTAAAATAAATTTTCAGTAACAAACACTGCTACAGAGGTGGGTCACATTAGCATTTGGTCGCAGCACTTTGTCAGTTTTTGACCAAATGATACCAGAATGATGGAGCCTGAGGAACAGAATCCACATCTGAAGAACAGCACAGGAACCAAAATTTGTACTTGGTTCCTGTGGTCAAAATGCTGGTAAAGAATCAACAGAAAATATTGCTGATAAACACTTAAATGTGAGATAATGTGATTGACTGTAGCAGTGTTTATAGCTGTGATTTTATTACTTCAAAGTTCAGGTCCAATTTCGTGAAGTGTTGATCTGGTTTAAAGGAATACTTCACCAACAACTTGTGCATCAATTACTCCATGCCTGTGACCTTGAATTTGCCAAGAAAACTGTGTTTCTCACATGCCTCCTGAACAGAAAATCTAAAAAGGCGTGGGGTCCACGTTTAACAACAGCAATATACTACAACGCATGTGGTATAATCCAAGTCTCATTTAATCAGTTGATTGCTCACTAATTCCTAGGGCTGTGTGATATGACGATATATATCGTGTGACGAGAGAAAAATGTCTATCGTTTCATATTTTGCTCTATCGTTTGTATCGTTGTGACGCAAATTACACTTTTTACGGCAATATTTTTCTTCATTTGGAGTCTGTCCATCTTTTGCACGGATCTCATTGATAAATTACTCCTCGTGGCTTTTTAATTCAAGAAGCTTTTACGGCACTTACAGTAACATAATGAGTTTATATAACTCCACCGCTGACTGTCTCTGCTGCGCTGCACTGACGGCTCAGCCCCACAGAGACGCAGCGAGATGGCGAAAATATTCAGACCAAATCAGGTGGAGCCTCAGTGTTGAGCGGGAGGTGTGTGGGGGTGTGGGCGTGTTTGTGCTTTAGAACATAACCGCTGTGAAACAATCAGAAAATAACGTTTTATTGATCTGATTCACCAGCTTTCTCGCTACCAGCGCTCCCTCTCTTCACTCACTCTCGAGCTTGCTCGACCACAGCTGCTCACTCTCGCTGTCTTTTTCTCTCGTCTTCTTTAAAATTAGTCGGTTGCCCGACTCATCGTAATGTTATCAAACGAGGAGAAATGCCCTCCCCTCGTCCTAGTAACGTTTTTGTACTCCCTCATGGCAGAGTTTAAAGCTCTGATCAGTCTGATCCCCGTCACACCTCTGAATCCAGAACACCTGCATGCTATGTAAAAGCACACACAGAGGCACATTTATGCCGGGGGGTGGGGTGGGGTGGGGGCAACTTTTGATTCATTGGATTAAAATGTGCTATATCGTAATATGTATCTTTATCGGAATATGAAATGACCTGTATCGTGATATGAGATTTTGGTCATATCGCCCAGCCCTACTAATTCCCAAACACATGTATTTTCACTAAAAAGTCTCAATATAAAACACCTCCTTCTACAAGTAGAGCACCCTGAACTTGCCTGGGCACGCAAGTGTGTTAAAGCTCCGCTTGAGCAGAGTTCAAATGCACACGTGCCCAGGTGCACAACTCTTCTGCACAAAGCTGTTTGTCCTGACAAATATTGTGTGTTTGGGAAGCACTGAGCAAAAGGCTGAATAAAGGACACTTGAATTATACTGCACAAGTTGTTTGAGAGTTTGTAAACGGATGTTTTGATATAGTTTTGCTGTTGTTAAATATGGACCGCTATGACTTCAGTTTATGTAGAATGTCTCCTATGTTGGACTGTTAGTTCACTGTGGAGGAATACTGGAAAAGAATAGTTTTCTTCACAAATTCAACGCACCACACGGTGAGTTACTGATCCATTAATGGTCATTCTTTGGCTCAAGTATTCTAACTCTTAAAACCAAATTTTCTTCTAATTACTGGCTATGAAATCGTCTTTTGTTTGTGGTTCATTAACCTTTATATCTGATACAGATATTATATCTGTATGGACGTCGGGTTTACATAAAAAGTTGGTCTTTTTACTCAGTGCTAAATTTTCTTGGATGTGGATTTTATTTTTGGACTCTACTGATTCAAAATTTGAAATGGGATAGTGTTTTGGTTATGTAGTTTCTTAAGTCTTCCATTTCCACTTAAAAGTAAACGATAGCCCCTACTTGTGATCTTTCCTCCATACACATGATGAATCTTAACAATCCAATACAGATTTAGAAACAAGAATATATTTATAACTGAACAGTCTCCGATACCAAAAAAAGAAAAGGCTGGAGCACAACCAAATTATATATTGCATGTTTTGAGCTTAATGACTAGTGCCCATAAGTCTATTAATTAAATAAGAAATCAATGAGAATCATATCTAGAAAGGCTCAAAGACTTCTTTCTGACACATATTAAACTTTGACCACAGCAGGAATATCTCATGCAATGATAGAGGAGTATAAATATGTGTGGGGAATAAAAAGTTTTAGGCACCTTGTTCGAATGCGGTTCTTCATGTCTTTTTTCTCGTCCTCTGACCTGTCGGTGATGGAGCAATTTTCATCGTCCTCCTTATCCTCTCGTTTGATGTCAGAACCACTGGAGCGACTGAGGCTACTGGACAGACCTGCACAGAGAGTTCAGACACAAAGATACTGAATAAGATACAATCAGAACCAAAAAATATTACTTAACATCCAGTGATGCCAAACTTGTTCTTATTTCTCTGACAGGAAGAACAAATGGTGAGTCTCACCGGTGAAACCTTCAGGCTGAGAGCCAGGCTGCACAGAGGAGGGGCCGTGGTGTCCATGCATTAGTCCTCCACTAGATGGCAGACCAGCAGAGTCCTCGTGGTGACCTGACACCTTCAGGACAACAATTTAACAGGGTTTCAATGATCTTGTCAGACGTTTGTAGTACATAAGTAGCATAAGAGCAACAAAACAGGTATTCATTTAAAATATCAAACTCCATTCAGTCATTTGCAGACAGATTTCCTTTGCTGCTACTGTTAATCTCACCAGTCCAGGCAGGCGACCAGCCAATCCAAGTGCTGCGCTGGTGAAGGCTTGAGGTAACCCTAAACCAGACGAGAGCAGACTGTGCATTTCAGCCAGGCCTGGCCCTCCTTGTCCACTGGCGTGACGCTGAAGAACATTGATGGCTTCATCCAGGCGGTCCTCCACTTTACTCGGCTACAGAGAGTAAAGAATAATGCGACGATGAGACAGTAGAAGGTGATGCATGAGTGACTGTTGCATCCTGTATTTCCATTTGTATTTACTTCAACAAACTTTTGTTGCTTCCCTCGCGTGAAAAAGAAAAGACATGTTGACTCACCATGGACTGAACCTCATAGTTGGGTGAAGGTGTGGCCTGGCCGGAGGATCGAGTCCACTGGGAAGCAGAGCCTAGACAAAAAAGATGACAAGGTTTTGCTTTGTACATTTGCCCTTATTAACTGCATCAGCTATTAACTGATACATACATATTACACACAGGTAATGCCCCAGACTTTGTAGTGGATTATGATACTTCATTTATCTCCAAATGGATATTCCAGTTTTTGCTCGCCCCCATGTTCACAGGGACATGTGAGCGCTGAGTCGGTCAACAAGAAGCACTCCTGAAAATAAGCTTTTCATGTCTCACTCTCAAACACCAGAGTAGACGATGTAACTGGGGCTTGAGCTTGGGTATTGCTGTTGAGTAATGGTCTCCTTATACTAACACATCATATCAGCATGCTCAGTCAAAGACATTCGGAACTTTATGTCCAGGTTTTACTGTTTTAAGCCCTACACATGCAAAAGAAATGTCTTTTTTTAACACACTGATGCTTTTATCATGTGTTGAACATGAAACACGGGATGACTGAAACTGTGTTTTTGACTGCACCTTTTCAACATGTGAAACCACTGTGATGGGGATATGAAACATCCAATTACATAAGATATTCAACTTAAATTTGTCATCGCTACTTAGACAAAGTATGACTTGAATAGACAATTTTAAAGTAAGGTCATTTATTTTATTGGAATCATACTTACCTCAATTTCCCCGTTTTCTTGATGTATAAAATATGTGATGAGCTTACTCATGGACTCAGTGTAGAGACAAATGGGGAAGTGACCCCACCCTCATTTTATTTATTTATTTTTTTCTGTATTTTCCCTTCCTCTCTCATAAGTTATATTTGGATGGTGTGTGTGTGTGTGCGTGTTTGTTTGAAAGATCAAGTGAAGGTTATACTGATGACTTCCATTTACAGTATGTACAAATAAAAATGCTACTGTCTGCTTTTCAAAATTGCCAAAAATGTTTAAAATAAATGAAAGAAATTTCAACAAAATCATGGCCATAGAAGTATCCATTGCATCTTGGAAAGATTTCCATTAATAGGTGAAACTTTTCTTACAGCTAACTCACTGCTAAATCAGATGACCTAAATGTCAAGACAGTCTTGAATGCCAAAGTTATCTCTGTTTTGTTTGTTCAGTGCCAGCACAAGAAGAATGTCACTGAAAAACAACAATCTGGGTTATTTATATTATGCAAACCAATCAGATAAATCAAGGGTGACCCTGAACTGTGCGCGAGTATAATGCTGTGGAGACATTTTGTTTGTAGGTCATTACCTAGACTTGTCAGCTAAGATGATCGCTTGTCAGTGTTCCCAGTCAAAAGTGAGTTATGTCACAAAAACAGTCACTAATTCAATATAAAACTTGTGCAAAAAGGATTTTCTTTTGGACAGGCCCATAACAAGTAGCAGCGACCGGCTTCCTGGGACATGTAATGTGTTCTGAGTAATATGTCTGACTCATTATAATGATTCATATTGTGATGGAATTTGCACACAAGAAAGTAAAGCTAAAGTAATGAGTTTTAAAATGATGTTTTACTTCCACCTTTAACCCAATAGATGGAGCTACACTGTCATGAAGAACAGTTGAGGCTTAGTCAGAATAACAACAATGCATTTTTAAGATTTTATGATCCCCTTACACAACAGGAAAGAACCTGAATAAAACTACAAATCAACCAGCTCACTTTGAAGCCTCAGTGAAAAATGACTAGAGCTTCCCCTCACCTGATACAGCCTGTGGAGAGCCAGAGGGAGTAGACGGAGACGGAGGGAAGGCGTTACTGTGTGGATCTGAAGGATAGATCTGGACACAGGAAGAATTTGTTTTTAATTAAATGAAGTTCATCTTATTCCTTTACATTTTTATGCTATGGTAATATATAACATTTAAAGTCTTGTGGCTCTTGCTACTTACAGATGCCAGGGCTTTTCCAATCTCATCACCTGAACTGCCAGGTACTGCACCTCGATTGGCTTTTGGGGAAGAATAGAAGAATTTCAATTAAATCCCATGTTCAATAATTATTCTGCTACGTGTAAATATAGCATGAAACTTTTCACAAAGAAAAGAGCACACACTAAAGGGTTTACCCATAATGGTGTCAGCCATCGGGGGTGTGTGGCTGGGGACTCCGAAGCTGCTGGGGCCAGAGTGGAAACCAGCGGGATGAGCCCCGTTCACTTCACTGCCATGCATGGGGTAGTTTTGGGGAGAGAGGGGCAGTGGCTGCCGTTTCTGGGAAGCAAATATGTTTAATGATTTAAATACACGACCCGACAGAAGCCCTCATTGATGCATTAGTCAAAAAGTGTCAAAGACCTCATTATGCCCTCAGAGATAAACAAGAGCAAAGTGTGAAGCCACAACTCACCAGTCTGTCTTGGGGGTTGATGGCAGTGAAGGGAGCATGCTGGTTCAGATGGGGGGAGTTGCTCAGCATGGCAGAATAACCAGGCTGAACCATCGACCTGGCAGAGCCCCATGGATCAGAGGGCGGGTGGAGGCCTTCTGTCAGGGGACATCCAGCAGAGGAGGGGGGAGCAAGAAGGGTGAGGGATAACAGGCCACAGGAGAAGAGAGGACAATGAAGGCCACATATGAGACATGTCACATTACTGTGATGACTTCATTCAACTGTGGTGCACTATTCAGCACCCGGGCACCACAGGGTGCTCACTAGGCTTGCCGCGATAGTCGGTGTTACTGGTGTTACACGGTGTTCGGGCATACAACAATTAGATTACTCGCCCAGCGCTTCCACTGTCATTTTGCTCTCTTTACTAGTCAGATGATAGACCTATTTGGCAATATTTGTGATTCAAATTCCAAGCTGATAGCTAACCTGATGATGTTAAGGAAACTTGTACATGCTTTATCTCTAGCAGACGAGACTACTACATTGGTCTGTTCACAGGTCTGCTGAGGGTAGCAATCAGACAGCTTCAGCTGATCCAAAATGCTGCTGCCAGGTTTATAAAAAGGACCAAAAAAGGCTCAGAGTTTAACTCCCATTCCTCACAGAATCAACTTCAAAATTGTATTGCTTGTCCATAAATCACTGCATGGTTTGGGTCCAAGATACTTGTCAGATCTTCTGACCCAGGACAAACCTCATAGACCTCTCAAATTGGCTGGTTCTGGATAACTGGTTGTTCCCAGAGTCAAAACTAAACATGGCAAAGCTGCTTTTAGCTTCTATGCTGCTCAAATGTGTAGCAAATGGCCAAATGAGCTAAGATTAGAGACTTGTTCTACTGTTTTTGTTTTAACTCTATGTGCTATTACCTGTTTGCTGTCAATGTCTTTAGTCTATGTGCTTTTGCTTATTGTTTTTATAATTTGTTACTTGTGCTTTTCCCTGTATAATGTGTTAAGCACTTTGAGGTACCTTTTGGCATGAAATGTACTATATAGATAAATTTGTCTTGCCTTGCCTAATGAAGGAAAAGGCATTGATTAAACTGCTAAAAAGTCGGAGGTGTGCAGCATGTCGTCTGCAGCTCTTCATCACACTGTAGCTGCTCCTTCTTATTCCATTACTCCCCGCAATATTTCAAAACTGATCCACTACCAACAAATGCTGGAAATTACCGTTATCATATTTTGTAGATGTATTTATTATGAATGAAAGCAGCAGCACTAATCTTAGTAACAAATGCATTTCCTGTGACCACTTCATAAAAAAAGTCAACTCATGTTTGCCAGTTTTAACGGGAAGCTACAGCAATAGAAAATGTTGGCAGTACTCTAAAGATACAAAGAGTCATCCACAAATGTCCTGTGTGACCGGTAACACCAGCGCTGTCACAAGTTTATTAACCGGTGGGAAAATTTCCTCACCATGGCAACCCTGGTGTTTTCTCGCATACGGCTACAGCTCCTAGGTTCTTCAGGACTTCCGTAAGGATATCTTTAGGAGCTAATTCCAGGTCATAATTACCTTTGTACGTGTCCGATACATTTACCCACACGAACAACAAGTGTCTCAGTCAGTCTGAACTTCTTGACCCAACACAATGAACAAGGAGACGCTTTGAAGGCAAATCTTGTTTCGACTGACCTTGCATGTAGAATGGTGGTGGGTAGACGTTTCCTGTCTTGGAGGCCGGGTAGCCAGCATTGTCCCTGTTAAAATCCTCTCCTGAGGCTGATACATAAACCTACAGAGGATACACAGAAAAAAGGTGAAAGAGTTCAGCTCAGTGTTTGTGAACTGTATCACAAATCACTACCGTAAAAAAAGTCTATCCAAGGCGTTGAACGTACAGTGCATACTGCATCTGGCATACTTCTGTTGAGATACTCGTAAAAAAGTTCCCTCGGAGAGTCCTTGTGCTTTGTGCTTAGGAGCATGACCACAAATTAATTCCCCATAAAAATAGTGGCGGGAATTGAGTTAAGTTTTTAAACTAAAAAAAAAAAGATAAATGCATTAAATACCTGATTAAACACAGCTCTTAAAAGTATGTGTTCCTTACTAGACAAGAATCTATTTTTACGATCTGGTTTTACAACTTAATTCAATAAACAGTCTGTTGCAACATTTCTGCAGACTGGGGCACTGAGCATTATGTATGAATGTGCAGTGTCAGTGATTTCACTCACTGAGCTCTCCCATCTCTATGGGGCTTTACATTTTATCCTGTTAAACAGAATGGCACTGAGAATGGTTTTCAGATACATAATTCACACCCTTAAACACATTTATATGTGACCACACAATGGGAGATGCAATCGGATTTGAAGCATGGTATATGGGTATAAAGGACCCAATGTTCTGAACCATCACATCGCTCTCAATCAAGACTATTCTAGACGAAAAGCAAGTATCAAACTGCCTCTGCAAAACTCAAATCCAAATGGACTGAAGTTTTCTTCTGTAATTTGATTAAACAGAGAGAAAAAGTAGAGGAAAAAGAAGGGAGAGGAGAAGAGGGAACGGAGAGATGCACTCCTAATTACTGAACCATCTGCCGAATCCTGGACGGCAGCCAACTCCACTGGCAGCTGGGATAGAGCGATGGGGGAGGGAGAGAGAGAGAAAGGGGAGGGAGGCGGCGGGAAGGGGGGGGTGCGGTGGGAGGGGTGCAGGGTAGAGAGGAGGGGGGAGGGGGAAGGAAGAAACAGAGAAGAGGAGGAAATAGGGTGCCCAGAGAGCAAGAGTGGGAGGGAAAAAATGAGGTGGAGTACGAACTATCAAACCCCAGTATGAATTCCCTTCAGTGATCTAACGGGTAAACTTGGCAGAGGGGAAGAAATGTGGCCATAAAGTAAAGGGCCTACAAATACAACACACTATAAATACATGCTGCAAATGACTGACTGGGTGAATGAGTGGCTTCCCCCCCTTTCCTACTTTTTTTTTTTTTTTTTAAACATCAGTGGTGCAGTTTCACAGCTGTAAGAGCTGGATGTCCTGTATTGCAGCTATTCTACTGCGTTGCAAGCCAAGGAGAGGCTTAAAGATGCCGAATGGAATGCGAAAAGCAGTGTTAAAACATGACAACATGAGCTCCCATGAACTGACTGCGAGGGCTGAGATATATTCCAGGGCTGCAACGTTTCTGGATGCTTGTACTCACCGAGGAGGGCAGGCCAGGGGGCACCTTCCTGATCTTTTTTGGCTGTGGTCCTGAGGGGAGGAAGACAGAGGGAAATTACATAAGCATGCTCACACACACAAAGGCCACATCCACACTAAAATTTTCAAACTCCGTACACACACAAGTGTTTAAGCACCATATCAGACATAATCTCCTTCCATATTAACACACTTGAAAATGCATATCCCATAACCAGGCATGCCGATGTAAACAGGAAGCAGACTGTCTACTCTGCGGTTGGCTACTTAGTTACAGAAAATACGGAGATGGCAAAAAGTAGGACCAGAGATTTCTTTGCTTGGACAGAGGAAAAGGCGGAACAGTTACTGAAAGTATCATGAAAAGACAGTGAAGGCTGCGGAAAACAGATTGGGAGTTGTTGCAAAGCAAATAGGGTGTGATATAAGAGTGGTAACAAAGCATTATCCATCACTGGAGGAAGCCATGGCAATGAGAAAGGGGTGCCCTGACAAAAAGGATAAAATCACAAAAGGTACGTAGGCATAGCTTTAGACCTAGCTATGATGTTTTTGCATGACATGCCGGGACTGAAAAGCGAATGTGTGTGTCTGCGTAATTGTTTTCTGAAGACTCCGTTTTTGGTCGTCCAAGCTAAAGTGCAACCCCAGAGTTTTCACACTAAAACAGGGTCAGCAGCATTTTCAGAGGCCTCCGTTTTAGGGGTTCCAAAACACTAGAGTAGGGTGGACACTAGGTGTGAAACACAGCAATAGTTATGCAGTTTAAAACCAAAATGTGAGGGAAATCACAAAAGCATGCTCGCATACACAAAGATAACTTATAAGGTAACTTATTGCTCATACAACCACCAATGTAGGGATTCATTAATGCAGCCCCCTTCCTTCTGAAGCCCTGCTGAACCACTCTATCCTTTTTATGACTGCTCACTAGCCCCTTTTACACTGCCTGTTCAAAGCAGGAATTTTGCGCCATTATTCCACCGCGCCATTCTTTATGAAAGATAGGTTTGCGAAGTGGAAAGACAGAGTTGTATCGCCTTTAAGAAGGCAGTGCCTAATCGAAGTCTGTGTAAAAGGGCCAGCTCGCAGGATGTTACCATGGACTGGATGGGTGTAACGTTTTGATGACATCTTAGGTGACCCACTGCCAGGAGATTTAAAAAGCAGCTGGCAGCTAACTCAAAGAAGAAAAACACTGACTGAAAATGTCTGGAAAACATAAAGGTCCAGGAGCTTCTTACCCTCTGAGCAGAGAATGAGATCAGCCGCCATGTAACAGGGATGGTAAATTATTGTTATTGCCATGTTATGCTATTGTTATTGTTTATAAAGCGCTGCTGATGCACATGTTATATGTCACACAAGAGGCTGACGCTGTTGTGGTACACATCACGCCTGTCACACCTCTACAATCACACACTGGGGCGGCATGATGCTGTCATTGTTTGGTTCTGTGTAAAAAGGCAAAGGAGAGGTAAAGAAGAGACTACATAGCTGCGCTACAGCACGATCTGACTATTAATGCCCAATCAAAAGGTATTCTAATCTCATGTCATTCAATGACCTCTCTCATTGGTGATTTCACTTTCTTTAACTAAGCAGAAGTGAGATTTCTCAAACACTTTTTTAAACCTCAGCAGCAGAAGTGATGATGTACATACACTTAAATATAAATCAGCACAAAGAATTTTTTTCTGAAACGAAATCTCATGACTGTGTCCAACACTTATAACAGTCCTTTACAATCTTACCAACGGGCTCCTGTGAGGGTCTCCTGCGAGAGTTGCCTCCCTCATAGGAGGAATAAAACTGGGGATTGGACTTCAGGCCAGACGGGGAGAGAGCATCAGGACTGGGCATGGGCATCTCACTGGGCATAAAGCCCGGCTAGAGATGGTGGAAAAAACACAAGCTCATGTGGTGTAGAAGTAAATCATTATAGCAGTAAAATCAGAGTGATGCAGTGAAGGAAACTGACTAAGGGACAGAATTTCCCTAAAAGAGCATGATGAGAGACGGTGATGATTCTGACTACCTGTGTTGCAAATGACGAGTATGCTCCTCGCTCAGCCTTCCCTGTGAGGAGAAAGGAATATAAAAAGAGGTCATGATCATGAACATTGGGCTTTTATGTCAATACTAAATCACAATCTGGCCATTCCCCCTTTCTTCATTTGGGTGCCTCCCATCTGCTGTGCGAGTGTATATGATGATGTGTGGTATTTATGGCTGTGGACAGCAAAACAACAACAAATTGGCCCATTATAAATGGTTCAGGGGCAATTGTGCCAAACCTCCGTCCCCTCCCCTGACAGTTTAACAGAGGAGAGCTATAGGCTACCACTGTCCCAAGGGAAAGCCTTGTTTGTGCATGGGTGCCCTTTACATCCTCCCACCCCCTCCTGCCCTGAACACACAAACTGCAACAACAACACATGAAAGAACCCCTCCTCCACATCCTCCCTGATTACCCTGCTCTCTTCATCCATTACCACCTAAGCATAAATATGGCTTGCCCTAAAGTGGTACATTAGTGTCTATTCTATGAATGACTGCTCTCTCAAACAAACAGCTCGTTGTGTTGGTTCAGTCACACAGTCCATTGATATAAACTTAAATCAGCATGTTCTTCTGTCATGAAGTCCTATCATTAGAAACACTGGGCCCCAAAATTCCCCTGATTCTTTTTGGTTTTTTAAAAAAAGCCCACATGAAAGTTGTGGTGTCCATGCTTCAACAGCTTTATATAATTCAAACCTCCTTACCTACAATTCCTGATCCATACATGGGGGCAGAGGCAATGCCTTCTTGCTCACTGTAAAGGCCTTGTTCTCCGTAACCCTGAGGGAAAGACAGCAGAGACATCAGGGACATAGAGATAGAAAACATATATAATCAAAATACATTGCATGTTCATGAAATGAGTCAACAAAGATTATCCATCTTGGCTTTGAGACTGGGGACAGCTAGTATTTCACGAGGCTTCACACTGCTCTGTTTTGGGATGACAGGGTAACATGGCATTCTTTAGCAGCTACACAGTTACACTACTGGATTAGTGATCCATAAATTGCATTTACCAATATTTCTCAGTTTGCATTTAGGTCTAATGAAAATGTCTGTACAAGTATGTGAGTAAATGAAGTTCAAAGTGTGGACAGGTCGACATGTCTGGGAGACTCTGCACCATCCATAAACCCAAGATACCCAGTGGGGTTGGGCAGCTGGACAAATATGTCAGCTATCTGCAACTGTCTGAATACATCAACAGTTGTTTTGTTTTAGCAATTTTGTCATTTTATTTTACAATTAAATGGTCTGTCTCCGAAGCATGAGTGAGAGCGCTGCTCAGTCGGCAGCAGAGAGAGACAGTGGGAATCAGGGCTCAACATAAATGCCTGCCCGAGGCATCTTAAACCGCTTAGAAAACGCCAGATTGGGCACTGGTTGCTACTCTTGTTTCTACTCTGTGCCAAAGGGTGTGGAGGCAGGTTGCTTCTGAAGTTGCTAAGTGACCATAACCAGCACTGTGTCATAGCCTACTAACCAGAAATCCTGAGTTCGGAGCTGATCTTCTTCCAGGTTTTTTTTCCCAAGTGTGCATTAAGCCAAAAATATTGTGCGTGGGACAGGTGTAAAGCTCTGGGTAGCCCTACACTGCAACAATCAACTTCTTCTCCATGTTTATCATACACTGATGTTTATGGAAGAAAGGCAAGATGTTTACCAGCTTCACTCTCACTTGTGAATGCACCTACAACGTGTCTAGTTTGAAAACACATTAGGATTTGAGGGTGCAAGAAACGTGGCATGTGTACAGGTCTGTAGTATGGCTAGGTGTTGGTACTAGATCCCTTTATGGTATCGACCAAAATAACCCAGTGCCAATTAGTATCAAGACTTCTACAGTCAAACAATACCTGCATTCAATCCTTCTTGTACCCAGATATAGCAGAAACAGACGACTTCCATGGTTTTGCTCGCAGCCAATCACCGCAAGCATTCTTTGATTTTATGCAACATGTGATTGGCCCACTGCCGCAGCAGCTACTACACATACAATTTGTGGTGTGGTTAAGTCAAGGGCGGTGTATTTGTCGGAAGTGACAGTTCAGCACGCTGATATGCCCCCTAAAAAGTTTGGCTTTACAATAAAATGCCACAACACATGACAGGCCTGTGGCATCTGGTGGCATTTTCCACAACTGAATGCTCCCATTCACATGAAGAAGAAATAAAGGAATCATATGAAGTCATATGAAGTCATATGTAGTCTGTTGGTATCGGTATCACTTTAAGGGTGCTGGTACTGGAACTGCTTTTGTATTTTATTAAACCCATACCCTGGTTGTTACTACCAGTGTTAAACTGAGAATATCTAGTCATTTGACTGATTTAAAAATAAGATCTTAACCCTCTTAAATAGCTGCTCCAATAACTGCAAACCTGTTAAATAATAGTAGGACTCTGGACGGTAGAATTAAGGCTTTTTGAGCTTAACAAGTAGACTCACAATACTCAGTGAGATCCAAACCACTGATCTATGAGACATATAGAGATTAATGAGACAGACTAACGCTTGTGACAGAGCTGGTGCACGGCTCCCTCTCCAAAGACAATCCTCGTAAAATTGTGTAATGTGTGACTCACCATTATTTCACTGTTCCGTGTGAATATGTTTATGGTGTTGTTCCTAGAAGATGTGTCAAATGTCTCCTTATGTGTGTAATCCACTTTATTTCTTGTGAACTCCTAAAATCTGAGCCAGGTCTTAATCTAAGGTGTTTTTAAACTAAGGGTGTAGAACCAGGTGATAACTTACTATTTACCCACGACCAGTTTTGTGCTGTATCAGTGGGTCAAATTCAGTTTGAAAACTTATTGTTCCATATCATACATTGTGTGTGAAAGCTTGTGTTGTGTTTCTCTCAATAGCATCTGCTATCGGCCAGACTCTATGTAGTTAGTGAGGATAAACCGTACCCGTCCCTGGTTGAAAGATGGACTGTTCTGTTCTCCTGGCCCCCAGGGACTGGACCCACTCCTATCATCTAAACCTGTAAGACAAAGAACTGGGTTAGGCCTATTAACCACAAAAAGGCAGACACATTCTTAACAAGAATTTACACTCAGGCTTTGCAAAAACTAAATCTAACTTATGAGAATGATGAAGTTGACCTGCTTTGATACAGGTTTTGCAGGCTGCTCAGAGTAACCTCAATTGAAGAGCTTCACTTCACAGCTCACACAGAGACAGCATAGTGACAGCGCTGTCACATAGTGTGGATATGAGCTGTAGGAAGTTTGAATAATTAACACCCAGTATGAGGCTCCCAGAATCATCCTCGACATTCTTCATTCTCCCACTCCACTCCTTTACATTTTCCATGGCAACAGTCATTCGTCCCCCATCTATTCACATTTGGCCTACACCTTCCCCTTAACACAGACGCACGCTGAAGGTCTCAGTCTTACACGGCTGACACACGTTATCCCTGGCCAGAGCACTCCGGCTTTCAGAAAGATGAACGCGTTTGAAAGGAGTGATTTTAAAGATTGGTGAAGCAGAAATTCCTGCCCGTCCCCTTTCTCTCCATCTCCTCTCATACTGCAACACAGCATCTCTAGGGGAAAGCTGAAGCTTAATTGCGTACTGATTTGCATAATTGTGCATATTAATGAAGCTCAGCTCTATGAATATTCATATTTTTGTTTTGTTGTCTAATTAAAAAGCGGAGAGGGGAGAGGGGAGGGGGGGAGAGGCGGGCTAGAATCATGACAGGATCAGCAGTAGAACAGACTGATGGGTCCACAGCGCTGAGAGCTGCTAGATTGCCGTGACAACTGTGATCTATACACACGACACCAGCAGAATAAGAGATGAAGGAGACAATGTCTTGTCCCCTCTCTATGGCTGACTGTCACTCTCCACGTCAATCAAAGACGATAAAGAAAATGCGCCAACCATTTGTTTCCGCTGTAAGTCATCTGAACCCAAGCTCCAGACAAGAACAGGCTCCGATTCAATGTTTTGTGTTTAACACTGCATTACGCTTTTCTTGACAGTTTTGTTATCAATACTAAATTTAGGTAAGCCAGTTGCAGCGTCACATAAACAGTATTGCAAAATAAAATGTACAGACAAGTGGAACAAGCTTCAATTTTCAGGACCACATTTCGTCCGTCATGCACCTACATTACTACCACTCTACGCACTCGACATCATTTTCCAGGACATTTCCAGTAATGATCTAGTTGGTACGACAAACAGGGATCACACCTAACACTAATACAGGGTTCCCACACATTTTTACCAATGTATTTCCCAAACATCTCCATAACTTTTCCATATTATACCCCATTTTCATTAGATTACGTTGTTTACAATAGGCAGGCCTATATGACAATAATAGGGTGCTCTTACTCCGCTGCTACTACAACTGCCAAAAGACAGGCACTGTCGCTGAAATGCGGCATGTAATATGGGATGGAATCCCTTTGTGTCGACACATGCAGTAGCCACAAAGTGGTAACGTTATCTGGCCTGGCTAGAGCAGAAATATGTGTCGATGCTGGCAGCCTGTTGAGGTGCCTTTTGGTTCGGTTGATGCTCTTTCCTTTAAGCATGGTTGAACAGGGCCACTTCCACCATGTTGCCAAGGTCAAACATTTTGGTGCAGACTGAGTCTACATCCAGCGCGACCAGGGTCTATCTTGAGCAATGTATTACATTAGAGCCATACATTATGAAACGCACACTCTCCAGGCATATTGGGATAAGCAAACTGCTAGTGCTTGCTATCATTCATTACACGTTCCCACCACCACCTAGCTGCATACGCCAATGTGTATTACATGAATCAAGTGGCGTTTCAACTGACAGATTTTAAATTAGAAATACAAGGAATGTATTTCACAGAATGAATATCCAAAACTTTTCCAAAAATTCTGTTAATTCAAAACTATTTCCAAGCCTGGAAAACAGTTAATTCCATAAGTTTTCCAGGAAATCATGACCTCTGCTAATATCCTCCTCTCTGTGGAAGTCTGATTGATGATATCATCTCTTACATGCTTAGAAATTATGTTCAGTTGATGAACAAATAATGCAAACAAACCTGCAGATATAAAGCACTTCACTTTATTAGTACTTGTGCAGTGCTCATCCAAAATGTGCCTGTTCAAATGATTTGACTTATTGGTTTCCAGTATTGCCGCTTGCAGCTTTATCAAGAATCGCTCATCCAAACGACTTCACACTCGACACTTCGCTTGACTGACATTATTCGGAGTTTCAGCCACTTCAAGGTAACGTCATCCAACTTGCTCGTGCTACCATGTGGCGTGACTTGTGGGTGTGTTTACAGTATTTCATAACATGAACGAGAGTAGCCTTCTCAAAATACTCTCGTCCATAAACTACCATTTGAATGTTAATATGATCCTGAACATAACCTGGCCCTTTCTGATAGAGATACTTTTTGGGGAGCTCTGATAGATTGCCTAGTAGTTCATTCTCAGCAAAAGGAAAATATGAGAATGTTAAAATAATTTTTCAGGAATTTTTGCTTTTGCTCCATGACTGGAAAATTGCTCAACTGTTTTCCAAGACGCGTGGGAACTCTACCATGTGTTCAACCGTGTAACATATCAGCAAAGTCTGGAAAAAAAAAAAAAAAAGATGCAAAGCTAATTAGCGAGACACGAACATGTGGTATTTTTACCCTCTTGAAATGAGGATTGTAAGCCACTAGAAAAAAGAAATGTGAACTGTCACATTTCATTTCACAAACAGCAGGGTGCATATTGCACTTTGCAGAAAACTAGCACAAAACTCCTCTTTGAGAAGAATGCCGAATTCACGGCAGTCAAGTGTAGGGTTAAGAGGTGTTATGTATGAATTTGGGAACAAGTTTAATGGAATCAGTGGATTTTGTGGAGGAAATAATGGGAAGTTTAATGTGAATATTCACACCTGAAGGAATGGAATTATGGGATAAATGTTTAACACATGAGTGGAAATAAGATTTTTCTTAAAGTAAAGAAGTGTAATAGGACTCTCTTTAGGTTGTTTTCTTGAGTCTTGCTTCTGTGAGCCTTGTTATTTCATTACAAATAGTTAGGTTATTATGTATTCATAATCTGCTTGAAAAGTGTAAATGCTTTAAGCAGTATCAACATCTGGGTTTTGGATCTTTACATGATCAGAATAGCACCAAAAAAGGCTTGTATCCACCTGACCCTTATGCTTCTATAGCCCTCCCTATAGTGGCAACACTATTAAATTATTATCATGTGTAAAAAACATGAAACATGATTTCTATGTTCCAAACAAGCGCAGTGTTTGGGTTTGGATATGTTTCTTTCCTTGTCTTCACTGTCTACACCAAAGTTTCCTTGATTCAGAATAATTTTGCTGTAGTTATTTGTCTTTCTTTGAAGTTTTGTTCAGTTTGTAATGTGTTGCTTTTCCTTTCACCACACTACTCCTTTGTCTTATCTGCACCTGTTATGGTTTTCATCTCCACAACAGATCACACTGCTGCTTGTATGATTAAGATTTCAACAGAGGTATCAGGTGAAATCACATTTTGAATGACAAAATGGCACAGAATCCTGTGTCATTATTCCATTAGCAACACCAGAAGTGAGAAAAGCATGAGTAGTGCACTACTCAGACAGACTACCAGGGCTGGAGAGGGAAAATAAAGAAAAGGGTGAGTAACATCAGACATATTCTCTGGTGAACCCCAATGCACTTCTCCTCCTAGCATGCAACGCCCCTTTAAGCATGGCTAGTCTATAATTACACAGGAAGAAATACTGGAAACAGACAGCCAGCCTGAGTCATAGGCTTCATGAGCAAATCTCCGGCACATACATTGACCAAACTTGCAGACATGTCTTGGTTTTTACATGAACACTGCCCCAGGCACCAATAACTGAGTGTGTCGTTTTGTCTACACACCTTCTTCCTTCCCTTGGCAAAGTGAATCACACAGACACAAAGCATGATGTCAGGTCAAATCTCAAGAGAGTGAACACTGTTAATGAAATACTGAACAATGTACAATAACACAGGCCTGCTTGTTTTAACCTGTGAGTCACCGTAGACTTCTCAAACACAACAGTATGCGCTAATCCATTAATAAAGCTTACATTTCAATATCCTGGTTCTGATAGTGGATGAAATTATATACACTTGAAAAGCAATATGCGTCAGAAATTCAAACTTTAAACTGCAAATCTATCCGTGAATTAAACATCCTTTTGTCTCTGTGATTCTCCAACACATCTGTGTGAAAAAAATGAACATCTCATGCAAATTTTGAACTCTCCCCCTTCTGCATTTCAGCCCATAACGAAGTTTAAAAATACATTTCAAGATTCTCAGTTTCCAGCCACCAAAAAACGAAAGTGCACTGAAATCATTTTAACTGGCTAGTGAAAGCGACTGAACAGGCACACAAGACCCGAGCAGAGATAGTATCATCACTGAAGGCTCTAAAAGGGAGGCTCCCCATAGCCACACATGTTAAACCTCCACATATCCCAAACCTTAACCATACTGGGAGAAAAGGCATCTAACTGACTCTATAAGAAAACACGTGGCAGCTGCTCCACAAACAGCAGGAATACAGTTTGACCAAGGCAGGTTCTTAGCACAGATTTAGGTACACAGAAAAACAGAAACGCTCTTAAATGACCAACTTTGCTGCATGCAGACAGACATGTTTCTTAAAAAGTATTCTTTTAGCCACATATGCTACATGAATATCCAGCAGTAGGCTATTGCGCTGACACATCCCACTGCCAAAGTATCCAAGACAGAAAGTACAGCCTTGAAAAAGATTGAATAATTCATATCTCGGAGGTGTGCTTTCTTTCTAAGATTTGTACACAAAGAGGAATGTGGAAACAATAAAAAATAGAAAAGTACATGCTATTCCTTGATGAACAACAGTTTATCCATCTGCCCAGCACTTCTGTGCAGTGCCTCTGCCTGCAGCATGGGTTGCCAGATTCAGTGAGCACAGGTTTTAGTATAGACTTTGTACAGGTGGTACCAAACCTGGCAACCTCACGGCGACAACAGAACATCAGATAGACACTGCATCCAATAAAAATAGTTACATCATGTAACTACTCCTAAAAACCACTAATTATTGTTTTTTCATTTCTGTTTATGTACAGATTAAACAAACGAGATAAAACTTTTGATTTAATGAGTCTGCTTTATAAAAAACATTGGTAGGACTATTTCAGACGTTGGAAAGAGCCAGGCTAGCCACTACCCCTGCTTCCAGTCTTGAAGCTAAGCTAAGCTAATTGCTTCCTGGCCCCAGCTTTGTAGCAAACACTCAGACATGAGGGTGACGAACAAAAACCCTTTAAAAGCTTAAAATGATGACTGTTGAAAATTCCTAATTTGCTCATGGACAAAGAACAGCCGCTGTGGTCGACTTAAAGTCCTGTCAGTTAGAAGATGATGATTAAATTTCACAGCAGTTAAAAAGGAATTTTAAACATCCTAAGAAACAATTTTATACCCCTCCCGCATCATAATCGGCGTCTCCACTGTTCATCCATTTGCTCATTATGTTCCAAACCATCACTGTTTTTCCAAAGTGTGGCTAAATACCCTGGAACATACTGAAAGGACAGGTGGACAGCAGAAAAGTGGTGCAGGAGTGATGTAGTATGAGTTTCTATGGACCTTGTGAAACATTTTTCCTGCTGTAAAAACTTGTCCCTTTGGGAATCCACTGTAAATATCATTAAGCAGACCACAGAGCTGTTCTTTTTGAAGAAGGAAACCACAACCACTCCAGACCAAAAATCTGTCAAATGCTACTAAACATTTTCATCGGTCACACAGGTGTGTCTGATGTTTATTACATTGGCGCAGGTAATGTGGACCCAAAGTTCACAAGCACAAGTTCTGCCCAAAACCTTTTAGTCGTTTGCCTACGCTGTTAGCGACATATGCTGAGCTCGGAGATCCTGGTCAACTACAACAACATTGGAGAGAGTTGTGTATGAGATGAGGGCGGTGTGTCAGCGTTACTCAAACATGTAGGGTATGTGAATGGAAACACATCAAACATTCTAGCGCACATTCGACAGCATCACAGAGACGTGCCAATCACTGGGTCAAGGAAAACAATAAACCAGAGCCGAACTCCTTTCAAGCACTCTTTTAGACAGTCACACAATTACTGACGCAAAATTTACATAGGCATATAGCTAAGGTGGAACTAACCTAAACAATCCTCTGAATGCACATGGTTTATTTTTTCTTTTCACAACAGTACAATCATTGCAAAAAGTTAGCCTGAAGCATCGTTCATTTTTATTACAGCTGACAAGGGTGAGTTTTTGTTAATAAAAAAACAGATTTGGGGTGGAGTATAATCGTAAGGCTGACGGACAATGCCATGGGAAGCCGCTGGATTGATAACACCAGCGTGTCTCTTTTGTAAGCACACACCTTGCTGTGACAAAAGAACATGTAAGTGGCCCTCAAGTGAATAGAAGAAATAGAGTCCTGTATACCCCACCCAGCCACCACTTGTCTTGTCTTTCATCTTAGCTTCAATATCCTGTTTCAGTTCTATCGCCAGCCCCAAGACCTACTGCACCTCTAGAGATACTGCAGTGACAGAGGAAGGTTAATGTAGGGCAAGGGGGTCTGCTACAGTGGGAATAAAGGTGGACAGGTAGGCTTTTTTTTTTTTTTATTTTTAAGCTAAACACTGAGGATGACAGCAATACAGAGGGACTGAGAAACACTGAAAAAAAGGACACAGTCTCATTTTGAGTATCTCCAATGCTGCTTGTTTATAGTATTCTGCATGTATGCATGTAAGGCTGGTAAAGCCGATGATGAGGCTGGATACTGAGTAATGTAAAGAGGAAAAGTAGGGTGTGAGATTGCAGGACAACGGAAAACACTTGAGATTAATTGAGCTGTTCCCATCAACCCCCACCCTCTGCCTTTGTCCTTAAATGATTGAATGGCAACAGCTGAGAAGGTGAGGGAAGGGACACCTGCAAGGCGAGGATGAGGAAGTGCTGAGGAGACGATGCTTGATCTACATAACATGAAATAACCGGGTAATCTTTCCTGAAGTTCCTTCCAATAATCAATTCATAAGAACATGTGTGGCACAAGAACAAATTCCCTTTCTGTTACCATTCAGAACACCATGAATGGATAGAGTGGAGTTGTGAGACAATAAGAAGCTCTGACAGCCCATTATCACCATGCTTTACTGTCAGGAGGTGCACTAGGGAGCCTTTCAAACCAATAAAATAGTTTCAACACTAGCTTTAGGGGAGAGGAAGGAAGAGAAAGTAAAATGTTCTTTAATATTCACTTCAGTTTATTTGGAGGCAAAAGAAGACAAAGCCAGAGTGAAAGAAAATCATAGAAAAAGGAGAGAATCTGTTTTTGTCTTACCTGAACCAGAAAACCGACTGCTGCCGAGGGTAGTCGGCTGGTTCTTGCCGTTTGAAACTGGAGGCTCAAACATCTGAAATGAAAGAAATTAAGTTGTAAACTGAAGACTTTGCTGAGTTATATCCTCTTTACTTGTTTAAAAGGTTCATTAGGTGATAATTCAAACTATCCTATCCTTTATCCTGTCCTATTCAGGACAGGGTTTGAGGCAATCTTCACATGCCAGCTTTGACTAAGTGACTGCTAAAATTAAAGTGACGTGACAACAAGTCTTGTAAAAAAGATGACTAACGTACGGGGTGCGATCCTTCAAATCCTGACCGACTCGCTCATTCTGAGATGCCCTGACACATTTCAACCTACTTGAGAACTGCTCAGGACTGTTCAGGACTCGGAGCACAGAATGAGCTGGAAAGGATGCACATTCAAATCAAGCAAGCCTCAGAGAAATCTTACCGCGCTAAAATCCAGCAAGTCGTTGAGCTCCTTGTCTGTTTCCACTGCAGCCATTCTCTGCTGCTGTTCACTTGGCTCTTTCAGTCTCAGCAAGCCACTGCAAAGATAAAGGTAAAGAAGTTTACCTAAGTCCACTAAAAGGGAACTGCATTACTGCTATTTTGCAGCCTTTAAAACAAATCATTTCCTATTTGTTTTACAAATCACTTATTTCATTGTTTTGTTCATCATGCATTTATGGTAGAGGTGCAGGTATGCGGTTATATAATGCCAGAGGCAACTGGACATTAGAGGTTCCTTCCGTTTCACTTACAAATAAGTGGTTTAGAAAATATAGTTAAACTGAAGACTTGTTTAAACATGTCTGAGTGCCCGAGTGGTTGCCTCTTCAGTTGTAAAGTTGTGTCTAGTGGTGATGTTGTGTCCCCATATCTCATCAGAAAAGCTAGCAAACAAAATTATGTCAAACCTAATAGGAATGGTGGCAAAAGTTATGAGAATGAGAAGGGGAAAAAGTTTGCTTGAAGATACATTACAATAAACAACTCCTGACATACATAACCTACTATATATTTTTTTTAATTAAGACTCCGGTAATCTTTCTACAATTAATGAAGTTAAACCTGAATAACTGATACCTATATTGTAATACAGACTTACTGTTCTAGTGGCACGTTTGTGCAAGATACTCGGACTAGTGACCAAAACTGAAAAATACAGTCAGTTTTAAGAGTTTCCCTGGTAGCCCACATCTAACAGGGGCGACCATGGTTTAGCCACAGGCCATGCTTCACTCGTTGTTAGTCAGGCTCTGGACTCAGGCAGCTTCCTCCACCTCAAAAACCAACCTGCTCTACAGCTCTCTTGGAAAAAAGTACAGACCATTATCACGACATGCTCAATTTTCAAACAGGAAATGCGCTGTATGACCAGCCTGTATCAAATGCATGTGTGTATGTGTGTGAATCACCTAATGGTTTCTACATGAAACCAGCAACCCAGCAGAGACACTTTGCAATACAAAATCATTGCAGTAAATAGCAGCTGGGGGAACGGTAATGTTATGATTTTGTTTGTATTCAGAAGCGTTGATTAAGAGTTCAATTTCGTGGCTGCAGTTTGTGATGCAGTCTAGCAAATATACAATTAAGTGTCTCTCAGTTGGTGTTGACTTGAGGACACTGTTCCTCGAAGCTAATGAAGTTTTCCTGAGTTTGGTATATGTTGTCACTCTTGAGACTTTAAATACATTTGAACTGTTTGAGAAGGATGCTAATCCTGTGTGCCTCTGTAAATGGCCTTAACAACTGACCTAGTATGCATTTCAACATCTGCTAATGTTGCAGCATTTTCACTTTATCATTGGTATCAGAAATATTGTCTGAACTGCTGCAATTGCTTAGCCTGCAAAAGTATATGTAATGTCAAAACAACAACAAATAAACAAAAAACACTGTTGCCAAAAGAGAACACTGAGTGCAAAGATCGGTCACAGAAAACCAACATAATGGTTACTTAAAAAATGTATGAGATTAACATTTTTTACAGTCAATCAACAAAGGTTGACCACTGTAAGATACTCCAAATAATTTACTGCATCATGACGTGTTTCTATTAATCTGTCCAATGTTTTGTTTTGTTGCAAGTAGTTAGTTCAGTGAAGAAATAGGGGTCAAAAATGACCAAATACTACAACAAGCACACAGCATCTTAAACAATTTAAACAGCACTTAACGCAGTTACAACTTTCAGAGTCGTGACCTCAAGTTTATCTGTAAGATGTTCCTGAGATGATTTCACTTCTACCACTTGAATAGCTCAGTATCGTTTTCAGGGCATGACCAAAGATTCACTTTTAGTCTAAAATAATACACTGAAAACAGAAAAACCAAATTAGTTTCAGTATTTGGAGCTGTTCGTGGGAACTTCAAAAATATTACCCAGCACATTAAAATACATCATGCAATGCTGTGTGCATTACAGGAGTGCAGTGACCCTCCTGGAAATAAACAAAGTGATCTCACCAGTTTGTTTATAATCAAGTTAACCCGTGATAGCAGCAACAATCAACAATTTGCTGAAACAACATCCTCATCCGATTGTGAGGGCATGAAAGGATGCAAACATTCGATCATGTCTAACAGGCAAAAGCAATGTAAATAATAGTACAACAGGTAATTACCAATTAATCACAGATGACAAACGTGTTAATACATCAGAGCAAGCCAAAATACCCTGGTGCTACATAATGTAGTCATCTCTGTCTCTGGCTGAGCCGAGGTCAAAATGGGGGATAAGTGTTTAGCCCCTCCTAACAAATGGAAGTTGTATACGCTTGTCTTGAGCACCCCCACCTCCGGCCTGCCCATTTGGAGGAAAAGTTTGAAGGCACAAATACCCACAGAACAAACCATACCTGGGCGTCTAACAGGAGATAGTGTGTTATCGACAGCCTGTGTTTTCATGGCTCATCGGTGGGTTAAAATCCTGCGGGACGTTTAAAAGGGCCTTAAAACCTGTTGCCTGCCCCTCACGTCGAGCAGGAGAATGGGCCACTAATGAACACAAAGACTCGGGTAGCCAAAGTTTCATTTGGACGGTCAAAACGCATCAATATGGGAATAAAAAGTCAAATTTTCATGACATAATTGATAAAAATGTAGTATAAATTGAGCAGGATGCTGAGAGTTAAATGAGGCTTTTGCTGCATTTTTACTACTTGTTACGATGTTGGTGAAAGAGGTGGAAAAATAACAGTTATACTTTTAAAAATGATTTTATCAGCTCCATTTTGTGTTTTATAACTACGCTGACTTAATCCACATCTCTCAAACTCTAACATCTTGATGCCAGGTGGGAAAGACTGCCATTTTAGCCACAAGCAGGAATGTCACACCGCTAGCTAAAAACAAATCAACAACGTATGTGTAACGTTTAACAGCTAACTTCATACGTTTGTTTCTATTACATCGATATAAATGCTAAATTAGTACAGACAGCTAAATCCTGACAGACGGGCTAACTCGGTGCGGTGATATGCTAATGTGCTGTAACGTTATAGCCCACTGAAGTGAACAAAGAAATCTTTTCCAGCACACATAAGCTACTAATACTCGTTATAGTAATACTGCTGCGAGCTCGCTGAGGCCGAAGGGACGAAAATCCAAGACCCCGCTTTTCCCGGCTGTGGCACTCGGTAACAACTTGAACGATGCGCTTAAAACTTGATTATTACTACTGTAACAACGCCACAGACGATGCTGTCTGACATGCATATGCTTGTTAGGAACGTGCATTTGTACACATATTTACCTGGATTCAATTAAATGGCATCCAACGGGGAGAAACCAACGGCCGCAGCACAGAGAAAAACAAAGTTAGGGATAGGATCCTTCCCCCCGTGGTCCGGACTGTGGGCTCGATAAAACGAGGAAAGACAAAATGAACCACTCCTCCGTCGCCTCGTTTCGTCGTCGTCCTCGTCACGAAACTGGAAACACGTTTCTAACGCGAACCATAACTCTTACGCCGCTCCGTTTCCTTATTGTTGGAGAAAATGTAACCATTTCATTTTCCAAGTAGACATTTTAACAGCCTCCACATTGTCGGCACCGATGAGATGAGTATCACTCCGCAGCACAGCCTACGGGGGACATGGACGCTGAAACATCAGTGGCATCAATGTCGGCTAAAACGCAGTCACCAAACCGAGCAGGTGTCACGATTTTATTCACGGATACGACAATTATTTTAACACCGCAGAAAATGTCACTGTTTCGTGGCTGTAAACGGAACACAAAATGAGCGGAGTAGCAATTCCCGGGGACCTATGTCGATTGGCGGATGAGGACAGCGGAAAGCCCAACAGCCAGTAGAAGATGGAATGATAATATCAGAGGGAGGACCAATGGGATGCGGCCAAAATTTGATTGGCACGTAGGACGCCCAAATATATTTCATCATCAAGCTTGAGGGCAGGCTCACTTTGCCTACGGGTTGCCTGCGTTTTAATTTTGTTCTCAAGCTACAAAAATATTCGTGTGTCAAAGAGAGATGGGAGTCCACTGTGCTCAACATGAATAAGAAAGTTTCTCTTGGGGTGCAGTGTAATCGGCCATATTGTCTCAATTAATGCCCCAAAACATCACATAATGAGGTGACCTTGCAATAAATAAATCTCACAATGTGTAATATATATTTGATAAGATGGGGTAAGACGACCCCACCCCCTTAATTCCTCTCCTAACGAATATGTGCCATTAAATCTACTCTCAACACATGTATTGAAAGGCTGTGCTTAGTGCAGTGGTTCCCAATAGATGGGTCGAGGTCCAAAAGTGGGTCACAGGCCCATTCTGAATGGACCCCACACATTTTATTTTTAAATATAGTAGATTTCCAGCACAAAACTTTTATCATGACGCGCCGTTTCCGACTGTAGAGTGAACGATTACAGCCCCGTTTCACATGATAATAATTTAATAGTGTTGCCATTATATGGAGGGCTATAGAAGCACAAGGGTCAGGTGGATACAAGCCATTTTTTGGTGTTATTTTGACAATGTTCAGATCCAAAACCTGGATGTTGATACTGCTTAAGCATTTACACTTTTCAAGCAGAGTATGGAGATATAATAATCTAACCATCTGTAATGACATAAGGATCACACAAGCAATGCTCAAGAAAACAACCTAAAGAGGGTCTTCTTACACTTCTTTCTAACATACAGGGAGCGAGCGAACTCTTGCACATGGAGCATAATAAAGTGTCCTGATACACTATAGCCCCGTTTCCACCAAACACTTTCGGTATGGTACCTTTGGAACCAAAGGTAACCCTTCAGAGATGGTACCTAGACCCTAGCGTTTCCACTGCAAACAGTACTCTTAAATATGGGCGGAGTTGTCATCACTCACTGTATTTCCTTTAGTGGTGACACAGATGGGAGTCTGCACCTTGTTTATCGTCCACAGAACGAGGCTCACACCAACATTTTCAGAACAAAATAAAACAGGCTGCAGTGAGAGTCTCCATGGGATATTTAAAAAATGGCAGGTTTGGGTATTTAGTCCTTCTCAGGCAAGCTCAGGGGTATAGTGTTGCCGGAGCCCACAGGAACGACGCTCCACAAAGCTTTTTTTGGATTAGAATATATGCAGTTCACATGACCTGGCCCAAATTAATATATATAAATGCTTAAAGATCCACTCGTTACTAAAAGTATGTCATATAAAAACTAAATTAATGGTAATATGGAATATTTAAGATGTGCTGATGGATTTACGTCGTCACATCACTCAAAGTAACATTACAAGTTAATGTTCCACCTTAAAAGTAGCCGGCAGTCGGCCCAGTGAATTCAGTTATTTTTTCTCAGACTCCAGCTGCTGTGAGAGGCAGCAAAACATCCTTTCATTTTATAGTTACAGTTTACTAATTAAACCCTCCACAGTATGAACAGTGGTTACATGAGCCTCAAAACCAGCCACAACTCAGCCCTGAGCAGAGTGACCGTCCTCTGTTGACCAATCAGACTGCAGTGTTCACAGCTCCACCTTTTAGTACCAGATCTGTGTGCTGTGTGTGTGTACCCCAACAGAGGGGGGACCAAACATGGGAACTGTACAAACGGTTCTGTTGGTACCATCCACAACTTTTCAGTGGAGACGGAAAAAAAGCGTACCGAACAGACCACTACCTGACGGAGACAGTAAATTAGCGGAACAACATGGCCAAACACAAGTATGACGCTGAATGTATTAAACTATGGGACCTTGAACTAATGACTTAATAGAAATCTGGACCCCATGGCGGGACCAGTTAGGAACTACTGCTCTAGTGAATTGTGATATTTCATATGCGTTACTGCATTCTTGAGACTTATTCCACCAGACCCATTTTAGGGTTAACTGTAAGGGTGGGGATCACAAGAGGATCCAGGATACAATATCATCACGATACTAATGTCGCGATACAATATTAATGGGATTTTAAATATGTTGCAATATGCTGAGTATTCCCATAAAACATATTGGGATGTATTAAATTATGCCCCCAAAGGAAAACTATCTCACCTCAGCCATTTTTGCAGCAGCAGCAAAATGTATCTATTGGACTGAAAAAGCGATTGATTATATATTCTAGTAGCCTGTCTAAAGTTGTATTTGTAATATTAATAATCTATACCAGTAGTTCTCAAATGGTGTGTCATGTTGGCATTCCAGGTGTGCCGTGGGATTTTGTGATAACCACACATTATTACTGCAATATTAAACTGGGCCTACACAAAAAGTTATGAATGACTTTTTAATTGAGTGTATCAATATGTTATGCACACCCATTTTCTAATAAAAAGGCAAACTCTACCAAAACAAAAATAATTTAATCTGATTACATTAAAAACCGACTGGAAAAAAGTGACCTGTGTATTTATATTATGTTGTACATTAAAACCTTCCTCCTTTAAAGTAAATATGTAAATTTCAACCCTTAGTGGCAAGATGCCCCATTTAGAAAGACAGTGAAAACCACCAGGGCATCCTGCCTCAAAATATTGTTTATTTAGATTATGTGTATAGTCATATGTGACTTTATGTGGTTTATATCTATATGTAGTAGTGGTAGTATATTGTTGTAGCTTTAACAGCTTGCTAGTTTTATTAGCTTGCTAGCTAGCAATCATTAGCATTGCTAGCTATCTAGAGTTAGCAAACATTTTTAGCCAGCTTTCTGGAGGAAGACATCCTGAAATAAAACAATTTGCCTCATGAAATGGCTAAAAGGTTTCTAGATAATCCATACATGTGTCAGAATTGGGATTTTAGTTTGTTTTATTTAGTTTGACAGCTAACTGTGTAGCTTGGGGGCTTAGTGGGGCATTACTTAAACAGTGTGTTGGTTTATGCATCATCATCCTGAACATGCTAAACTCTTATCCAAATATTTTTTAATTTTACAGTAAATTGACTTTGTTCTAAAGGGGTTTGTCTTCCCCATGTTACCTTACAATCTTGCAGTATTAACTATCATCACCCCTTTTTTGTAAAATAGTCATGTCCTGTGTTTGAGGAGAAAAACATATGTGATTACATTATGTTGTGAAGACATCCCTGAAAAGCATTTATAGCACATACAGTATATCACAGTGGCCTATATGTATGATATTTGACATCTTTTAATATTTCATTAAACTACATATTCACTATCTGTCCTGCACTTTAGTGTTAGGGAAGAACAGAAACATCTGCAGTTAGTAAATGAGTGCAACATGTGTGACTGCAGGACTGTGTTTTTATCTACGCATGGACGAGAGACAGAAAGTGGTACAAAAAAAAGCAATGGTACATCTACTTCCTTTTGTCGAGCTGGAATCAAAAGAGTTTGCATGAGCCAGCATCGGACTCATATAAAATGGCCTGGCTGCTGTTTTCTCATGAATTGTACCTCGGTGGTTATGTAAACAAGACTGCAGCGTTTGTTTTGAGACTTTCTAAAGAAAACCTCAACTGGTTTGAGGGGAAACAACCTAAATAACATCTGTGCTGGCCTTTACGAGAAAACTCAGCCATCCACTTTGTGGTTCGCAAACACACACTCACGCTCAGCATGCTTTGCACACATGCAACTCAGGCACACACCTGTATGTCATTAACAGTGGGACTAAAGACTGGTTGCAATGTTATCCTTCTAAGACTGAATAAATATATAAAGTGTACGACAGTATATTTTACTTAGCCCCAGGAACAGCCAATGCATGCTTTAAAGAGAGATGCAGTTAAATGGGGTGAAGGTACAACTCAGGAGCATTCAGTCAGTGTAAGCAGATCAACCTCATTATGACAAAACTGGTCTCATGTCACAGATTCACTTGAGAAGCTCCTCCAGTACACCTGGGGGAAGATGGCGCACGTATTTGCCGTAGACGTGATGGTATCGCAGCTCTACACAAAACATCAAACAATGTTTGCTTTGTTACCTTTTAAAAAGTAGGACGAACGGCACGGAGGCAAAACAACATCAAGGTTGTACGATAAAGCCTGAGACACACCAAAAAGCTATATTTAGAGTGGAACTCCATTTTCCTACCCCCCTAAGTGTGTACCCTCCTCTCCACCCACTCTTTCCTGGGCTCTCTCTTCTTCTAGACAAGCTCCCATATCTTTGTAAATGGGTTACCCCCATGCAGCCACCCACGCATCAGGTACAGTATGAAAATTTGGGGCATCCTGTTATGACTTCTGGTTTCCTGTTTCCTGTGAAAAATACAGCCCCCTCACTCTCACACACACATGCAAACACACTCATGAACTCCACTGCTCGTCTCACCGAACAGAGCAGGCCTGGGATCAGCTGCTGACACCCCATTCCAAATATATTGCATTAGCGCTCGTAATCCTGGCTCAGCTATTTGGGAATGTATTCAAAATATAAATATCGTACTGATATGGTGTCATGCGTTCTCTTTTGATATTATTCCCAACCAGACTCAGTCTAATGTCTTTTTGATTGGGTGTCACAGACAGTCAGGGGCGTAGGTTTCCTTTCAACACTGGAGGAGGGGGGCACCAGGCGGCAATCTCCAGGCCTGGAAAATGAAGCCAACACTGCATTTTTACAGCATTGCGGAATCAAGAGGCGTGATGGGTGCGACACATAACACGTTGGTCTCTAGTGTGACATGTAACATACGTGTCAGCAGCCCTTTATGAACAGTAACAATGGCATTAACATGGCGATAACAATCATTTACTATCCCTGTTATATGGCGACTGATCTCGGAGGTCAAGGAGCTCCTGGACCTCATTGTTTTCCCAATTTGCGGATATTTTCGGCCGCTTCTTCACCCAACAGCTACTTTTTAAATCTCCCACGTTGGGTTGCGCATGTAACACATCATCGAACGTCACACCCTGACGTCTGCTGCTTTTATACAGAGGTCGTTTCGGTGCTGTCACGACCTCTGATGCCGGCTTAAAGGCGAGACAACTCTTTCCCACCATTCCACGATTGTACCTTCTATATTCAACAGCGAGGCGGCATAATGGTGTGAAATCCCTGTCTTGAAGTGACAACCTCAGGGCCAAAACAATGAAGCCAACATTGCATTTTTACACAGCTGCAACATTGCGCTCCAGTGTATGATTTTAGACAGCATGCCGGCATTGCTGAATCAAAAGAGGCGTGATTGGTGTGACATTAACACATCAGTAGTGTGACATATAACATATGCATCAACAGCCCTTTATGAACAGTGACAATGGCATTAGCATGGCAGTAACAATCATTTACTATCCCTGTTATATGGCGGCTGATCTTGTCCTCTGCTCGGAGGGTAAGGAGCTCCTGGACCTCATTGTTTTCCCAATTTGCGGATATTTTTGATTGCTGTTATTCATGCCAGCAGCTACTTTTTAAATCTCCCGTAGTGGGTCGCACACATACACTGTCAAAACATCACACCCGTGCCACTCATGATCCCCTCCTGCCAGCCGACTTGTTTATATAAATGTCACTTTGGAGCGTTACCTCCAATGCCGGCTTAAAGGCGAGACAACTCTGTCCCACCGTTCCACGATTGCATCTTTTATACACAACATTGAGGTGGCATAATAGTGCCAATGGTGTGAGAAGGCAGTGTAAAAACAGGCTCATGGGGGCACATGAAACGGGGGTGGGTTGAGGCACCCAGAAAATATGTCAGACACTTAATTTGTTTGTTGTTGTGTTCTGGTGGTTCTTTTATGCCCCAAGTTGTGCATTTTCTGCATCAATTCATGGTGTTAATGTCTTTAATTTTGTTGGAATAAAAGTCCTCTGCAAAATGCACATATTCTAAATATTAAGGGGGACGTATCCCCTATATCGCCCCAGAATCTACGCCTGTGCAGGCAGTGACATTATTGTGAGTACTCAGCTCTGTAAGAATACACAAAACTGCTGCATTGTGAGAAAGTCATTATGCCATAAGGTGACAAGAGCAGCTGTTTTGCCCCATTCCTCACAACATTTAATTTGTTTTTATTCCTTGTATACATATTCTCATTTCACATGCCAGAGAGGAAGATGTACAAGTGTCAAGGGACCACTGAAACAGCGTTAACAGCAGTGTTTGCTCATGTGTGAACTGTAGCCCCCCCCCGTTCCCCAGAAATATGAAAATAACGCTGTTTGTGACACACAACATGCCGCCACTGCACGCCCCCCGCCAAGATACCTGAGCATCTCTCTCAACAGGGGTCAGTCACATCACTCTTAAATGAGCTGAAATCTCTCTTCCTTCCTGTGGCGGCTGTAGCCTGCCATGCTGATCGCTCAGTGACAGCGTGCATGGTTGATTGTCTTGGCAGAAACGCACACTCTGGTTTCCCCCTCTTATGATGTGGCTTCTGAGAATCTTAACATACTTGTTTAATGATTTTTTTTAACGTGCAGTTCCTTTTTATCAGTTTTGGGTGGGCGTTGTCGTCTTTATTTAAAAACTGATGCATCGATGTTCAGTATTTCTTCTGTTCAAGAGGGCCTTTACATTCTACAGACCGCTCACTCACTCTTTTACTCGTTTTTTTTGCAAGAAAAAGCACAATAGCATCCTGTTCTTTTTCCTCGTTTTTAGCTCATCATCCCCTCCCCCCTTTCTTGCAGATTTGAATTCATTAGCAATCAAAGAGCCACTGACAAACGCCCAATCTTAATTACCCTCTCATTTGCATATTTGCATATTAATGACTGCAGACTTTGCTGTTTTTCTGCTGCAGCATTCCCCCTCCCATCAACACTGCTCAGACTTAGCCGCCCCACACACTGCAACACTACGTCTTTCTCCGAGCCCAAGGCCTCACATTTTAAGCCAGGAGTTGACTGACATTAAAGGGAAGACATTTCATTATCACCCCAGACATGAGCCAAACAGATGAGCCATTGTGCTGGTAGTTTAAATGGACTAATGTATTCCAGCAGGGCTTTGATTCACTGTCCTGCTCTTCTTCTCAGTCAGTATAAGCATGAGCCAACTTGTAGTGTATATACAGTGCACCACACACACAGTGATAAGTATATTTCTATATTTTCTGTATGGTAGCACACTTCAGTTTGTAATTGTACCAGAATTCCTCAGTGCATTGCACCTGAGTGCTTCCCCCTTCTGGTGAAAGGAGTGTAAAACACTGAAGTGATACTCCGGCAAATGAAGACATCATGTTACAATACATACAATTTATTGACAATTCTGATTTTATAGACAAAGCTTTCCATGATTTTGCCATAAAAAAAAATCTATATTTGAAGGGACAGTTCACCCCAAAATCAAAAAAACATATATTCCTCTTACCTGTAGTGCTGTTTATCAGTCTAGTTTGTTTGGGTGTGAGTTGCAGAGTGTTGGAGATATCTGTCGAAGAGATGTCTGCCTTCTCATGAACACAATGGAACTAGATGGCACTCAGCTTGTGGTGCTCAAAGCACCAATAAAATACATGTGAAAAACTCAACAGCAATGTCTCTTTCCAGAAACCATGACCCAGTTACTGAAGATATACCACAGACCTTGTTGTGAGCAGTTTCATGTAGAAACTAATTTCTTTCTACCGAACTACATCTGCAAACTGCATCAACGCGCAGAAGGAAGCGTGCATCTACTCATGCACTTGTGACAGTGTGAGATATAAACATTAATAGTGTCCTCCTTGTCAGAGCTGTAACATTAACGAGCTCAGTGATACTCTTGAAATCCATTATCCTGGGGCACCCTGTAGCTCACCTGGTAGAGCAGGTCCCCCATGTACAAAGGCTTTGTTCTTGCCGCAGTGGCCGTGGGTTCAATTTCGCCCCACAGCCCCCTGCTGCATGTCACCCCCCCTCTCTCTCTCTCCCTTTCACCCTAATACTGTCCTATCAATTAAAGACAAAAAGCCCTAAAATACCTTTAAATAATCCTTTGTCCTTCAGTGACATGGTTTGTGGATGACCAGAAACATGATACGGATTGCGGGTGTAGTTCAGTAGAAAGAAAATAGTTCCTACATGAAACTGCTCACAGCAAGGTCTGTGGATTATCTCAGCACCACAAGCTGAGTGCCATCTAGTTCCATTATTTCAGGGAGAAGGCAGACATCTCTACGGCTGATATCTCCAACACTTGGCAACTAAAACAATCTAGATTGATAACTAGCACCACAGGTAAGAGGAAAAATATGTATTTTTGATTTTGGGGTTAACTGTCCCTTTAAACATTTACTTAAAGGAGGAAGTACACAAATAGAACAAAACAAAGGAGCGAAATGCCCTAATCCTGCCACAACACAGGATGTACTTCAATGGCAAATCCGTGTCCTGTTGTTTACATGACAACGAATACAAAGAAATAATCACTTGTTTCCGCAGAGACTGCTCAGTGAGTCGTGATGCATCTTGCTCAAGAGATAAAAGCGGTCTTATTACGGCAGGTAGCGTCCAGGGATGAGTCTCTGGTATTTTCAAAGACAGCCTCTGCCCCAGTGTAGCTCATCTGAAGCTAATGGTACCACAACAAGCTAAGGATGATGCTTAAAGATAACAAACCTGAAATACAGAGGGCGCAGAGGGTGCTTTTAAGGTTGTAACTTTTTTCATTTTTGGCTTTGACATGAGGGTCATGCTAAAATGTTTTAAACATTGTGCTTCACCTCAAGACATCTTTGTAGAAATCAGTCACATCACCAAATGCAAAAAACACATTCTTTGACTCAATCATCTCTTGCTAACACAGACACACATAACCCGACTTGTTCAGTAAAAATAAACTATCCTTACTCTTCTAAATGTGTTTGCATGACACATATGAAAACAAAGTCACACATGTATCACATATGACTGTAATAACTGACACACTTGTGCTGTAGATAGAGCATCTTTCCTGGCTTACTTGTCAGTAGAGTTCATTTGATAGATGGAGACTTCAGAGGTTCACCTGAGGGAGGACGTGGCAAACAACGTGTGTGTGTGGGCATCAGGTTTTAGGCAGCAGCTTCTCCATGTTTTTACGTGTGTGTGTGTGTGTGTGTGTGTGTGTGTGTGTGTGTGTGTGTGTGCGTGCGCGTGTGTGCGCGAATGTGGTCAGTGTGTGTTCAGTCTGCAGTGCGTGTGGGAGTGCTAGGTTGGTTCAGCCCCATGGTTTTACAAAGCCAGCCAGCAAAGTCTACCTCCTCCACCTCAGACCGCTTGATAAACATATGGTTCTGCAACAAAACAAAGTATAAATACAGGTAAGATACTGAACATTGAAAATTTAATCATATAACAGAACAAAGTTTTCTGCTGCTGACTCTAAGTGTGTATGAATAAGCCCCAGTTTGTGATCTAGACCTTCAACCTGTCAGATATCACAGAAAAGGAAAAGCAGGAGCTTAAATTAAAACTTAAGCCACAGTCTAACTGAGATTACTCACCATCAACATTTTCAAGTCAGCCCTCTCTGATGGATTTTTGATGAGACTGAGGAAATGACAGAGGAAAGATGGCTCTTTAAGGTATGACTTTCCATCCATTAAGGAAAAAAGAAAACGTGAATGTAGACAAAAGACAACTGCATGTTTCCAAGATAAAATGTCTCACCACTTTGTCACAAAGTCCTGGAAATCAGAGGTGAAGACGCCGTGTGGTAGTTTGGGAGGGGGCTGAAATAGAGAACAAAGTTGAATGAACATCTGATCACAGTAAATACTTTACGGAACCAGTTTTTCTTTGGACAACTCTTACCTCATTTACTATGTAGTCTAGAAGTTCAAAGATGGCCATTGCAGGACCATGACCTGGAAAAGGAGCCAAGTTAAACTGTGTTTTATACTAAACATTTCAAGCAAGACTTACGTAAAAACACTCATTTTTATCAGACTAAATAACACTGAAGAGCCACAACAAAACCCTTATGCTGGTTATCATCACACATAAAAGATTCATCCTGTTTCTCACAACAGGAACTGGTATATCAAAACATAAAAACAACATGCAAACTGTCCTGACAACAGCAGCAGGAGAGAGCTGAAAGATGCGCTCCCTTGTGGCACTCAGTAGACTGGCCAGGCTGGCATACCTCAGAGTGTAATTTACTTACTTCATGTGTCACTATTTCTCATACTGCCACCTAGAGCTGCCTGAGTGCAAAGTTATCTATAGATTGCTCCAGGAATGAGTCCTAAACCCCAGAAATGAGTTTGCATTTTAGCACTCTCGGTCCCCTTGTCTTGAAGTCAATGGTGTTGACTTTGACTTTGGTGTAGAGACTTCCAGGTTTCATTCTACGACATAAAATCTGTAGGTAAATACATCACTCTTAAATTTTGAAGCTGTTATGTGTCTTTAAGAAGGTGGTTGCTAACAAGTGGCTAACTGAGGCTACGTCATCACGTCGAACACAGCTTTACAGCATCATTGAGATGGTGACATTGAAGTACTGTTACCGTAGTGTAGTTCGTTATAGCCAAACGTTAGCTTTTACCTCTGGCGATTGCATTCAGGCTTCAAAAATCATTAAAGTGGTGTTCATTTGTGAAGGTTATCTTGCTGAACAAAACATGCAAGTATCGTATCGGCCTAGAGAACAACGTCATCCCTGGAGCACTCTATTGCACTTCAATATAGCTGTGTTGCTCACCACTGACAGGTCTACCCGGCGGTCTGGGTCTGGGCGAAGTGCTGAGCGTCTCTTCTTCACTACCAGCCAAGATGGGCCGTCCAAATATGGCCTCCAGTTCTTTGGCATCTGGAGGAGGGATGGGGAAGCGCCCGATTGACAGCTCCACAAGGGACAGGCCCATGCTCCACACATCTGACTGCACAGAGTAGTGAGTTCCCTGCAATCTCTCAGGCTACACAGCAAAGATAAAAACACAGAACAGAATAATTATATCAACAACTACAAGGAACTGTTGCTCACTGCACAGGCATTAAATGATCTGAAATCAAACAGCTAAAATATTGCTTATTTTTATATGTAAATTGAGGCACTGGTTGAAGTTAGGTCAATAATATCTTAAAGGACATTAGTGGTACACACAATACGATGATGGATGGGAACATTTCATTTGAAAAGCCTCAACAAAAAGTTCAACACAACGGTATCACATCACAGTAATACTGAGTAACCAAACTGAGTTTATCGTTTCAAGCATAATTCAGTGAGGACCAACATACCGACATATAAGATCTTGTCCCAACAAAGGAATTGGCCATGGAGTCTATGAGCTGCCCGCTTACACCAAAGTCACACAACTTGATCTCCCCACGGGAGTTCACCAGGATGTTTGAAGGCTTCACATCTGGGGGTACAAAAGGCATTCAAAAACTTCACCTGACTGGACAACGATAACAGAGTGCAGTGAAAAAGGGCTCTCTGTACAGCCCTACAGTAACATTAACATAAAGGTTAGGATATTTGTTATCTTTGGCATATGATCATTTGTATGACCAGGTTAGCACACATGATTTAACAAACTACAATGCACTATGCTACTGTACATCATGTCTTGCAGTTGAAATACAAGACTCTGTAATTAATCCCATGAAAAAACAAGTACCTCTATGCATGATTTGATGTTTGTCTCTTAGGTACGCAAGGCCTCTCAAAACCTGTTTCAAAAAGGGCAGAAGTTACACAAGTCAATAATTGTAAGCAATCTTAATGTGAAAGTAACAGATAGAAACAAAGGTAAAACTCAGCTAGGCCCGTGGTGTGTGTGTGCGCTTGTGTGTGTACATTAAGGCCACAATTGTTTTATTATTGCCAATATCATGCAATATTATACGACATTACAATACAGAAGGATTCCCCCTGGGCACCTCCCGTTAGAGGTGTTCTGGGTACATCCCACTGGTAGGAGGCCCCAGGGCAGACCCAAGACACGCTGGAGGGATTATATATCTCATCTGGGGTGCTTTGCTTGGCCTGCTGCCCCCGTGACCCGGCCCTGGATAAGCGGATAAAAATGGATGGACGATATAAAAGACAACCATACACTTACAGCAATGCTAACTTTGCCCAGAATCTCTTCAGGGATTCGCTTTGCTTCTGTCAGCACCTGGTCCAGAGATCCACCGTCCTGAACAAAAGACAGACAGCAAAGAATACAAGAGGTCAAAATACAGACTGCTAAAAGAGCATTCTGTCTAAAACAGAATTTCAATTGATCACACCTTTCCCATTATTGTGATGTGCACTGAGTACATTTACTGGTTTTTCTGTGGAACATATACATGTCTGACACAGTACTGTGCAGTTTTATGCCATGCTTACCACAATTAGGGATGGGAGATGATAAGATTTTACTGACACCAATGCCATTATTGATTGTGCTTATCGGTCCAATTCTTAATCGATTCCCTGATTGATTCCTGATCGATTTTCGGTGTGGGAAAAAGTAGGCCTCTAAAACTTTTCGGCATCAACATAATGGTTTCATTATCTCTGGGTCGGAACTAATGGTAGCAACACTCTGTCTGGCATCATCTAAAATGAATCAAATGAGATAATATTTGTAAAAGTATTCACTTTCATTGAAGTTTTCTTATTCAAAGAAAAAAGCGACCTGTGTGTGTGTCTCTAATGTTATTATAACAGGATATTTACCCTCAGTAACTGACATGTCGCTCAGTTGGTAAGCAGTGGCACTCATGTTTAGACTGTCAAATACATGGCATTACTGGAATTTAAGCCCATGTTGCACAGAAAGATGTTTCAATTATTTCTGGGTTTTCCACCCTGACTTGAAATGATAATTTAATAGACATTACAAGCAGCACTGTTGTCATCTGTCTTCGTGAAATGAAGCCACACTTTGGACCATATCCTCCTTTACACAGTGACTCCTTGTTACAAGTTTCTAGCAGTGTAGACATATGAGTTTAAAGCAATTGGTTAAGATGAACTGATAAGGCTGGAGGCATACAATTCTGATGAATCAGACAATTTGGACTAGTTCTTAACTGGAATCAGTCCTCAATTCCCATCCCTCACCACAGAAAATTTGCTTTACATTTACCTAGTGTTGCACAGTATACCGGTACTAAAATAGTACCGCGGTACTAGAGTATTCCAAACGGTACTATACTGCATTCGGAAAATACCGGTACTTTGAATCTGATTCAATTCATTAATTTAGTTAATTTATTTTACTCAATTATGCACACAAACGCCTTTCTTGTTCCTATTGGAGCACAGATTGCACAAGTGGTGTGTATGACAACACCTGTATCAACATTCGCAGCTGGCGCACGTGAAAAAAGACGAGAGAAAGTCTGCCTCGCAAAGGGAGACAAAACAAGACAACACAAACTTGGTGGAACATTTGAGTTACCAAACCGTGATGTCCGTACCGAGGTACTTACCGAACCATGATTTTTTTGGTACCGTTACACCCCTACTATTTATTTTTCTAAAGGTTTGTATCCAAAAGGACTTTTCCTTAGGAAAAGTACCGAAGAGTATCGAAAAGTATCAAAATTCACAATGGTATTAGTACCGAAACAAAGATTTTGGTATCATGACAACACTACATTTACCATAAAAATCACCCTCTATGAGATCTAAATTTCTTTGTAATCATTCGGTGGATGCTTTTGTCTAAAGTGATGTACAAATGAGGTGCAATCCAACCACAGTACATCAAGGAGAATTCAAGATTAGCATTTTAACTGTTTTTTTAATTGCATTATCTTTGCTTAAACATGGGACTGACACATATTCATATAGAAAGGCCAAAGAGGATCTTGTATTTTTTACTTTATTCAATATCACTGTCCTTGAAATAAGCATAAAAGGAAACTAGGACGCTAACTCAGTTGAACATTTTCTCTACCTGACCTTCTGCACTGGTATACAACATGAAAAATGTGCAAAGTGGAAAAAGAAGATCCATTTGGGGATAAACTGATCGATACAGAAAAACCCTTAATACTTTAATCTGCCACCCACACACAGTCACTCCCTCCAATTGACTCACCATGTGCTCCATGCAGATGCTGATCTCTCCATCACTATAAAATGCTCCATAGAAGCCGACAATGTAGGGAGAGTTACACTCATGCAGCACCTGAAGCTCTCGGATGATCTGGTTTCTGATGGCAGGTTTGATTTCAAGATGAATGAGCTGAACGAAAAAGAGAATTGTTATAGTGAATGTGTTTCAACAATGTTTTATTACCGTGTTCAGTATCACTTTTTGATCATATTCACATCATATGATAGTGTTACTTGTGGCTCACCTTTCTGGCCATGATTATTCCTGAAGGTCTGTGACATTCCTTGTTGACAACTCCTCCATTGCCCGCACCCAGCTCACATACTCGATTGAAGTCATCATCTCTCAACTCGCCCACCTTGGCCTTCTGGGTGAGGAAAGCTTCTAACCTTTTCTTCTGTTGTTCATCCAGGTCCAGCTCCTCCATTATTCTTTTAAGTGCCTCTAAATTGGCCCTGCGGGAAATGTCACAGAGCAAATAAGGCACCGTTCAGATCACAAATATGAATGACATATTTAGTTTATATGGTATATTGAGATATTTATGTGGTTAGCAGAATAACTTACTCAGATGAAACATCAGTGTTGGTGGAGGTGGATAACCCATCACTAGCAGGAGCGATGTTTAAGGGCATTGGTCTCTTTTTAGGAGCCATGATCACTTGTGGATGAACTGGGCTGGGCTTAAGAGAGACTTTTCCTGGGCTATAACTGAAAAAGATTAACTTTCTGACTGGGAAATGATAGTCAATGATATTTGGAATTAGCATAAAGTTTAACTTCCCATGTAAAGGTTTGGCTAATTAAGTAAAACAGGTATTATCTTGCAGATGCTGTAATGGGGCACTGTAATGCTAACGTTAGCTAGCTGGCTAACATTAAGTTAACGTTAGCTTGATTATAGTAATGTTACTTGTTTTAAATGAGACATAACGGTACTTACACTGGTTAGCACGATAACTAACATTATTGTCACTACACTTACGTTAAATAATGTTACCGGTATGAACACTTAAATTAATCTGTGCTACATTACCTACAGTATGACGGCAAACATAATATTTTAAACCCAAGAGCCATCACTAGCTGCACTTCACGTTAGCTAGCATGCTAGGTAGTTAGCCGTTGAGTGATACATTCAACGCTAGCTGATAGCAACCGACTGTTTTACTTTACTAACGCTGTGTCTGTGCTGTGTCCCCACACTGTCTGAGTTAGAAACAACAGCCTAATGGGACTCCCTTATTTCTGCTAGCAGGTGTGTGGTCACTGCAGACAGATATATATATACACACACACACACACCGGTTCCCAGTATCAGCAACAGAGATGGGGGAGCGACGCGGAGCAGCATCCGCACACAGCCCGGTGGGTTCAACCGTGGAGTCAGTCTCGCGATATTTCAAGCAATGACAGTCAGCTGTGCAGTCGTCGAAACCTATGGTCGAAACCATAGGAGTAGATTTCAGGGGGGTGCTGGGAACACGTCCCCCTCAATATTTAAAACAAGTGCATTTGTCCTCCTCAAAATAAAGATGAAAGTAATAATAATAATCATACATTTATTTGTAAAGCGCTTTTAATCAAAGTGGTGAACATCATTTAAAACAGAAAAGCTACTAAAAACAGTATACAATAAATAAAACACAATAAAACAATGAAAGACAACAATAAACAGACAAATCAAGACTTATTCCCAGTAGTGAACAAATGGGTTTTTAGCTTTGCTTTAAAAACATCAACTGAACATGCCTGCCTCATACCTATAGGTAGACTGTTCCACAAGGTTGGTGCACGAAATGAAAAAGCACGCTCACCAAACGTCTTTCAGCGGACCTTGGGGATGTCGATGTGGAGCCTATGCTGTAGCTATGGCGTTGATTCAACACAGAAGTATTAAATGCGTGTTAGTTTCGCAGGACCAATAATCTTCATTTCTGTCTTAAGTAACAGGAAATTTCTAGATAACCATCCCCTAACTGCAGTTACACAGGTATCAAGTTTAGTTATATCAGACCCATTTTGAAGGATAATACAACTGTAAATCATCTGCATAACAATGAAAAGAGATCCCAAATTAATGTAAAATCTCACCCAACAGTGCCAAGTATACAGAAAATAACAGTGGACCAAATACAGACCCCTGTGGAACCCCATGACCAACAGCATGCGGTTCAAAGAATGTTTTGTTATATAAGACACGTTGAGATCTGTCTGACAAGTAAGATCTCAACCAAAGGAGCACCTGACCTGAGATGCCAAAATAATTTTCAAGTCTGTCCAATAAAATAGAATGATCCAATGTGTCAAATGCCACACTTAGATCGAGCAACAGTAGCACAGATGCTGATTCTGAATCTACAGCCAATAATAAATCATTTGCCACCATGGTGAGTGTTGTTTCAGTTGAATAATTTACAGCAGACTGAAAAGGCTCAAGGAGGTCATTTAATGTCAAGTATTTCAAAAGCTAATTTGAGACAACTTTTTCAAAAACTTTTGACAAAAAGGCAAGATTTGAGACAGGTCTATAATGCTCTAAGGAGTTGGCATCCAAGCCAGGCTTCTTTAAGTAATAGAGGACTTTCATTTTGACAAAATTAAAGACATGTCCACCATAAATGGATGCAAAAGGAAAGTGTTTGAACAAGCCCGGTGTGGCTACACATTTTGACAAATAAACGCCTGTCTCAATTAAACACCTGGTCTGGTTTCCAAGCAGTTCATTTGTTAATTGAAGTTCTCGGATGTATAAACCCAGGTTGCTGGCTACCTCAAATTATGTGCCCATTCTTTGATTACCCTGTCAGTTTATTCATATTCTTTTAGTCCATAAGGGTCCTCAGATCAAAAGAATCAAGATGCTTTTTCATAGAAATTAATACAAGTTCTGAGTATTGTTTTAATGGGATAAAGTGGTGTTGAGTTGGTATGCTAGGTGCCACAACAGTTTTGTGTAAAAGGGTGCCAGGATGGTGCCTTTTCATTCCAATGGCATTGCTTACTTGGTTCATACACCAAAAAAGATTCTAGCTTCCGGGTTTACTTATGCTTAGCTCATAGACTTTACTTTGTGATGACGTCACTGAGATTTAAATCGCTTTACTCGGCTCAAGGAAAGTTTTAAAAATATAAAACCTCCATGGGTTGAAAATTCATTCTAGAGAGTCATAACTGACTGTTTGCAGTCCAAGGCATTTACAGTGGTGGTCTAAGGGAAAATGGATTTTGGGCTGCAGGGGATTTTTTTGTCGACAATACCATGAGTGGCCACTGAGAAAAATTGGAAGCAATGAAGAGTGGCGTTCCTGGGGGCCTGGTGTCCCCCAGATGTTGAGAAAAAAACTTTACCCTTGGTTGTAATGATATGGAAATGGAATTATGAGATGACCAAAAATACCATTACATATAGGATCATGTTCATTTTCTAAATATTAATTATGTTATCTTTGCAGTATTTGCTGTTGGGCAGCCCAACACGGGCCCATCTTGGGCTCCCATTGGCACTCACCACCCCTACGTAGGCTACTGCTTTCAATGAACTGTGAATGTACCCTGTGCACCCAAGGTCCCATCAGAAACAGTGCTAACAGTCATCATGGCATGTCCATGTCGGAAGACCTATACTAGAATCGTGAGTGCTGTTTCAAGGTTTTATATACAGTACAAGCCAAAAGTTTGGACACACCTTCTCATTCAATACGTTTTCTTTATTTTCATGACTATTTACATTGTAGATTCTCACTGAAGGCATCAAAACTATGAATGAACACATGTGGAGTTATGTACTTAACAAAAAAAGGTGAAATAACTGAAAACATGTTTTATATTCTAGTTTCTTCAAAATAGCCACCCTTTGCTCTGATTACTGCTTTGCACACTCTTGGCATTCTCTCCATGAGCTTCAAGAGGTAGTCACCTGAAATGGTTTTCCAACAGTCTTGAAGGAGTTCCCAGAGGTGTTTAGCACTTGTTGGCCCCTTTGCCTTCACTCTGCGGTCCAGCTCACCCCAAACCATCTCGATTGGGTTCAGGTCCGGTGACTGTGGAGGCCAGGTCATCTGCCGCAGCACTCCATCACTCTCCTTCTTGGTCAAATAGCCCTTACACAGCCTGGAGGTGTGTTTGGGGTCATTGTCCTGTTGAAAAATAAATGATCGTCCAACTAAACGCAAACCGGATGGGATGGCATGTCGCTGCAGGATGCTGTGGTAGCCATGCTGGTTCAGTGTGCCTTCAATTTTGAATAAATCCCCAACAGTGTCACCAGCAAAACACCCCCACACCATCACACCTCCTCCTCCATGCTTCACAGTGGGAACCAGGCATGTGGAATCCATCCGTTCACCTTTTCTGCGTCTCACAAAGACACGGCGGTTGGAACCAAAGATCTCAAATTTGGACTCATCAGACCAAAGCACAGATTTCCACTGGTCTAATGTCCATTCCTTGTGTTTCTTGGCCCAAACAAATCTCTTCTGCTTGTTGCCTCTCCTTAGCAGTGGTTTCCTAGCAGCTATTTGACCATGAAGGCCTGATTGGCGCAGCCTCCTCTTAACAGTTGTTCTAGAGATGGGTCTGCTGCTAGAACTCTGTGTGGCATTCATCTGGTCTCTGATCTGAGCTGCTGTTAACTTGCAATTTCTGAGGCTGGTGACTCGGATGAACTTATCCTCAGAAGCAGAGGTGACTCTTGGTCTTCCTTTCCTGGGTCGGTCCTCATGTGTGCCAGTTTCGTTGTAGCGCTTGATGGTTTTTGCGACTCCACTTGGGGACACATTTAAAGTTTTTGCAATTTTCCGGACTGACTGACCTTCATTTCTTAAAGTAATGATGGCCACTGGTTTTTCTTTAGTTAGCTGATTGGTTCTTGCCATAATATGAATTTTAACAGTTGTCCAATAGGGCTGTCGGCTGTGTATTAACCTGACTTCTGCACAACACAACTGATGGTCCCAACCCCATTGATAAAGCAAGAAATTCCACTAATTAACCCTGATAAGGCACACCTGTGAAGTGGAAACCATTTCAGGTGACTACCTCTTGAAGCTCATGGAGAGAATGCCAAGAGTGTGCAAAGCAGTAATCAGAGCAAAGGGTGGCTATTTTGAAGAAACTAGAATATAAAACATGTTTTCAGTTATTTCACCTTTTTTTGTTAAGTACATAACTCCACATGTGTTCATTCATAGTTTTGATGCCTTCAGTGAGAATCTACAATGTAAATAGTCATGAAAATAAAGAAAACGCATTGAATGAGAAGGTGTGTCCAAACTTTTGGCCTGTACTGTACGCCATTAAGTTATGGTCATTTTTATTTAAAAAAACAAAACAAAAAAAAAAAGACTTTTTTGCACCATGACAACACAAAATCAACTAAAATAAAAAAACACATCACAATTAGGCCTACAATTCAACACAAGGTCACTGTGTTACACTGGACCACAGGATATAATGCACATGATTAAAATACTGGCCACATTATCTCCCTGGCAAATTCAACAGTGTTTTTGCTGCTGCTGTTTAAACGCTGTTGGTCCCTGTGTTGTACCATGATACTAAATGAACCCTGACGTCTGTTTTTTTAATTTATCAAGAAACTATAGTGGTTTGAGGAAAATGTAGCCTAGCTGCCTCTTGACATATAAACACTGTTAAAAATCTTTTCACAATGATGCAACTGATATTGAGTATTCTGCACCATGTATGAAAATGAACCTGAGAGGCTCAGAGGATCTGTCTCATAAACAACATTAATGTCTGTCCAACACATCACAAAACAAATACTTCCCATTTGTTTTCCAGTCTTTTGTCTGTGATCAGTCAATGTTTGCTGTGTGATTTTCTTCCAGCAGAGGGCGCTCTGCTCATTTGTTTAAGCCTTCACAGTTGCATCTGACTGGGCTTCAGCAGTTTCCTTTGGACAACAGCAGCTTTAAGACACAAAGAGCCAGACAGAGAACTGTTACAAAGCACATGATCACAAACTAAGAGATAAAGCTGTCATTCAGTTTGCTCAGTGACATTTTTGCTTCATTGTGTATGCACTTCTTATCACTCTTGATGCAATACCAAAGTTACGCAAAATCCTAGTCAGGGCACAAGATTTTCTTTGTCTCAGTTTTATAGGAGTCTGGTAGTGATCATTGTTTCTGTTAATAATTATTCACATATTCACAGACACACACCGACATACCCTCTGATAGGTCTGGCCTGGCTGGTAAGATCAGGAAGTTTGCTGTTTCTGGTGTCTGGCAGCAACATGCTAACAGTGGCAGCCATGATGCTGACTGCCCCAAAAACAATGTACGGCAGGATCTTGCTGTACTCGCCTGCAAACAGAATAAAAGACACTTGAATTAGATTTGTCACTGATATGTTTATTTCCATGTGTTACACCCATAGGCCTTTTCACAGAAGACATTTTGACATGCCACAGCAGAAAAATCACAGGTATAAATAATACCATTTAATAATTCCCTGCTGGCTGTTTAAGTTTCAGGGTGCTGGGATTGTGACAACATTTACACACACAAAATAGTCTAGTTTTGCCCCTATTCTGAAAAATACACTGCTCAAAAAAAATTAAGGGAACCCTTAATGGTCATAGTATAGCACCAAGTCTTCAGGGATATCAATCTGTCCATTTAGGAAGCACAAGTCATTGTGAATCAGTTTCACTTGCTTTGGTGCAAATGAAAGTGACATCAGGCCGCAGACGCTCTCTCCTCATTGGAAACAATTGAAAAAAGACGCTGGCCTTCTTCTGGCGCTCAGAAAAAGGTGCTATGTGGACACAGGGCCTAACATCCTTCAGTGAAACCTGTGCTCACAGCCCAGCACTGTGCAGATTGGTTGGCATTCACCAGAGAACACCAGAATTGACAGGTCCGCCTTTGGTGCCACATTCTCCTCACAGATGAGAGCAGGTTCACACTGAGCACATGTGCCAGGCATGAAAGAGTCTGGAGACGCCATGGGGAATGTTATACTGCCTGTAACATCCTCCAGCATGACTGGTTTGGTGGCGGGTCAGTGATGGTTTGGGGAGGCATATCCTTGGAGGGTTATAGCCAGTGGTACCCTGACTGCTGTTGGGTACTGGGATGAAATCCTCAGAACAACTCTCCTGGTGCTGGACAATGCCCAGTCTCATAGGGCCAGAGTTCGTAGGCTGTTCCTGGATGATGAAGGCATTGGTGTCACTGACTGGCCCGCCCATTCCCCTGACCTAAATCCAATTGAGCACCTATGGGACATTATGTATCAGTGCATTGGACACTGCCAAGTACCGCCACACTGTCCAGGAACTCATGGATGCCCTGATCAAGGTCTGGGAGGAGATTGCCAGGACACCATCCACCAACTCATCAGGAGGATGCCCAGATGTTGCCAGGAGCGGGGGCCATTCACACTACTGAGCTGCCATGATAAAATTCACACAAGTTGAATCAGCCTGTGGTTTCAATGATGAATTTCAATTTTGAATCCAGCCTTCAGCGGGTTGGTGATTTTGAACTAATGTGTGATTTAAGGGTTCCCTTAAGTGTACGATAGTCCTACAAAGCTGTTTACATGGCTAATGAAACTAATGTGTGGTGGCAATTTCTACGAGACAAAACACATCGAGTCAGAAACTTGTCTTTCTGTAAGTTTAATTCAACATCTGCAGATGGACTCATAACAAACGCTCAAGAACGACCTGAGTGCAAAGAGTGAGCCCTGAACACATGGGATGTCAGATACTTATTGACAACTGCCGAGGTCAGGGATCTTTAACTAGCATCATCAGAGGGGTGACAAAGGGCCAGCTTATCTAGTCATGTCTTTGGACATCAAGTAAAGCATTCACAGCTTGTTACACACTGACAAAGAGTAAACGCCATGTACGGCACATGGTACAGAGGCCTCAAAGTTCCATTACATATGTGTTAAATGTTGCATAGATTTTACATAATTACATCATTTCTATTATATTGTTGATTACCTTTCAATTATATTAATAATTTCCAATACACATGCAGTCGTGCAGACTCTGAGTAACGTGCCTAACATGTCGTTTATCATGTCAAAACTCAAAGTTGCCTACTGGTGGTGGACTTGACAGTGTGAACACAGCCTCCCTCTTTTATTCTTTCAGCCACCCTCTTGAAGAGGTTGGTGTTGTGGTATTTGCCCATCCATCCATTTTCAACCCCTTATCCAGGGCCAGTCGCAGGGGCAGCAGGCCAAGCAAAGCACCCCAGACCTCCCTCTCCCCAGCAATGCTTTCCAGCACCTCCTGGGGGACCCCAAGGCAATCCCAGGCCAGATGAGATATATAATCCCTAAAGCGTGTTCTGGGTCTGCCCAAACGTCCCTGCCCAGGGACGTGCCAGTGGGAGGTGCCAAGGAGGCATCCTGATCAGATGCGAAAACTGATTTCGGCTGCTTGTATCTGCGATCTCATTCTTTCTGTCACTACCCAGAGCACATGACCATAGGTGAGGGTTGGAATGTAGATGGACCAGTAAATCAAAAGCTTCGCCTTCTGGCTCAGCTCCCTCTTCACCACAATGGTTTGTTCACTCACGTGTATTAATGTCATCTACAGTGAGTTATTCCATTCTCTGTCTCTCTCCTTCAAAGTTCTTCAGTTTCAACAGTGTACACAAACACAACCACAAAAACAGGAAGAACCAAGACAACACTCACCCATGTAGATGACATAGGGACAAATGATGCTGCCTATGCGTGCAGCTGTGGAGGCGACCCCTAAGCCCATGTTCCTGACAACAGTGGGGATCAGCTCAGTGAAAAACACATAGATGAGGCAGTAAGCAGCAGATACTCCAATCTTTCCCACCAAAGCTAACACCTGGAGCATGACTTGCATGTCTGAGAAAAACAAACACGATTATAAGACAAGGAAAATATCATCCGTAATGTTTTTCAGTATTTTCAGAGATGCCTGATTCAGTCACTATTAGAGCATACAGACCTTCAGGAAGCAGCATTATAACTAGAAGCATGATGCCACAGAACGTCAGCATGGAGAAGAGGAGTGTGGGTCGTGACACATGGTTTACCAGAACCCAGGTGGCTATGTACGTCAATATGTCAATGGCTGCTGAAATGAAGCAGTTGAGGTAGGCATTTCCATTTAAGTTACTAGTATTGAGAGAGAGACCGTAGAAGACCATGGAGGTGGACATCCTGCAGACATACAAAAGTAAGACTGGATGAAAATGCAAGGCAGTGTGTCTGAGGGAGCTGTATGTGACATTTAGAGCATATCTATGATTCAGAGTCTGGGCTGGGATTGTCTGCACACAGTTCTCAACATGGAGGTGGCTGAGTGGCTAGCAGCTAACCATGCTAACTCCATAAACAGTGCTAACAATGGCAGCAGTGCTTACAGCACTGGGGGGAAATTAAAGAGTGGGCGCTACAGTGACCCTGTCCTGATAGCAGTGGTAACCGCCGTATAAGCACAATGCAGAGCAGTGATGATTAGACAAAAAATTTATATAGAGTTGTTTTTAACATTTTAATTTTCATTTATTATTCTTGTAGGCCTATACAAAAAGAAACACACCAAATAAAAAACAAAACAAAGAAAACATACATCTATGGCCTAGCACCTTTGTTTGCTTTCACTGCCAATGCTGCAAAGTTCGAGGTGGCTGAATTGGCAGCTAGTGGCTAACAATGCTAACTGTATAAACAGTGCTAACATTGGCAACAGTGCTGACAGCACTAACATAGTTAACCTCAGGGGAAACTGGAGAGTGGGTACTACACTTCAACCAATATCAGTGTTAACCACGATATCAGCGCAAAGTGCGGTGATAAGCTAATCAGTGGGATACTGACTAGCTCATCGCCGCACTCTACATACTACCACCTTTACCGAAAGGTTGTCTGGCCACATTTGGTTGTGACGGAGGAACAGCAATGGTATTTGTTCATTTATAAAGCTTTGATGCAGATGCCTCCATCCTGTATTTCATCCTTTTTATCTCTGACCTCACATAATCCTGGTACTCACTCACAGAATAGGTTGTTGCTTCACACTCCCTTAATCAGAACTGAACTAGGAAGTCTGTCATTCTCTTACAGAGCTCCTTATACATGGAATAATCTACAAAAGACTTTAAAATGCCTAATTTCTGATCTTGTATAACTGAGTGTAAATGGTTTCAACTATACATCTTTTCCAGGTTATGGGAGGCAGTCTGACAATCAGAGTGAGGAGCACTTATTTGTCAAACAAATGACTTTCTTTAATTTATAATAAAGTGTATGTGCACCCATATTCAGGAAAGTTACAAATGGAGAAAAGAAGACATGTTACCATATAATAACACTCAGAATTGTTATATTCCTCATGTTAGGGGTGCGTATCAGGTCCAGAAAGGAGTATGTGTGCTCCTCTTCATCTTTAGTTTTCTGAATTAGACATAAGAAAAGAAACAAACAGTCACGAAGCAAACACGCTTGTCAAGGCTTGGGACATATTCAGTACTGTAACACAATAGTTTCCACAGCATGAGGAATGAAAATGGAATAAATACCGTTAGCTCCATGCACTCATCCGTCCTGAATATGATCTCAGGAGCGGGGACTCCGTTCCTTTTGGCGGCAGTGCGAATGACCATCTCGGCCTCCTCCAACCGACCTTTCTGTAAAAGCCAACGGGGAGACTCAGGGATCAACCTGAACAGAGACAAAGGGACAGAAGTTCAAAAGTCAACAGGCGCATTTGGTGAGGATTGCAGATTGCAACCAGCTAAGACCTCTCCTGGTTAGAATTCCTTCAGTGTTCATTGTTCAGGAGGTTTTTTATCAGGAGCCAAATTATCCGCAGAGGTCTCTTCCTCTCCAGGACAAACGGGCCAGGTGATTAAAGCTGGCAAAAAACTCTGAATAAAGCAGTGTCACTACTGTCCCTCCTTCGTGGATCAGAATCAGACCATGGGGATGCTCTTTTAGATTTTATTTCTTGGTGTGATAATAATTTCTTGGACCTAAATGTGTCTAAAATGAAGGAGTTGATTATTGACTTTGGACGTAACAGAGACACAGCCAAAGAAAGCATTTTTTAAAAGAACATTTTAAAGAACATCTTAAATTTGATGTAAACACTGCAGATATTGTGAAACGAGAGCAACAGAGAATTCACCGTCTTCGTAAATTAAATTCCTTTTCCGTCAGTCCCGTTGACCTCTGCCATTTTTATCAGTTTTTTATTGAGAGCCTCCTGTGTTTTTGTTTCACAGCCTCACGTTGAAAGACAGTAACAGTCTAAACAGCATTGCTAAAATCTGCTATATGAATAGACTCACCTCAACAACTTCAGGACATCATACACTTAAAAAATGTAATACTTATCATATTATATTCCGTTTCTGCCAATATATCCCCCTATATCCTACACACTGGATCTTTGATGGGCATTAAAAGGAGGATTTATAAAAAACTAATTCGTAAAAGAAATATTAATCCATCAAAAATTAGTTCAAATTTAAAGAAGATTTACAAAACAGACATAACATTGAACAATGATATTTATCAGCCCACATTCAAACTTACCAGTGGTGAATGAAGTGAAAACCACACTTTAGTAAAAGTACAGATTTCTTACCAGAAAATGACTTGAAGTTAAAGTCGCCTGTTCGAAAATTACTCGAGTAAAAGTCTTAAAGTATCTGATATTTACTGTATTTAAGTATCAAAAGTAATTGTATGATATTAAATGTCTTTAGATATTGCCTTTAAGTACATGTAAATGCTGTTAATAAAAAAAAACAAGCCGCGAGATTTTTTTCTGATTATGATGACGTAAGATGTGTGCCTACATTACATTTGAATAAAAACATGTTTTATTCCCAACTTAAAGGATTTAACCCTGTGAAACCTGAGCAAATTGGCATGAGAAAGAAGGCAAAGAGCAATAAAATGACAAATTAGCAAGAAATTCGTAAAAACAAAAAATTAAAAAAGAAAATTATGATAATTATAAATATAGTTTTACCCTAGATTTTCCCCCCTAATTTTTAAAAATAATTTTCTAAATCTATTTTTTTTTTTTTTTTTTTTTTCAATTTATGGAACATTTTTTACCTAGTTGCTCGTTGCCTTTTTCCCATAAGTTTTTGAAAGAAATTGCACCAATTTGCTCAGGGTTCAAAGGTTTTAATACTTATGAAAGGTGTCTGAAAGCAGAACAAGAAAAGTGATGTCGCTCCAGGTTTCAGAGGGTTAAAGAACAAAATCCAGTTTTTCCATCTCTCTCACGTTTTCATTCGTCCATTTGTCCCTTCCTTCCCTCCTTCCCCTCTTCCTTCCCTATTTTGCAGTAACTAAGATGCTCAGGGGAAATGTATTAGAGTAAAATTATATGTTTTATTTTGGAAATGTAGTGGAGTAAAAGTGAAAGTTGACAGATATATAAAAACTCAAGTTAAGCACAGATACTCCAAAAAATACTTAAGTACTGTAACAAAGTATTATTACCTCGTTACATTACAAGGCTGAGACCTACCACCATGCTGGAATAAACAGGAAGCCGGGGATGGCAGAAGCGACCAGCAGCATCCTCCATCCTCGTATGAAGAAGGCAAAGAGCGGCAGCAAGGCGTATCCAAAGCCAAAACCCAAACTGTGGCCCAGCAGTGAGAAGCTCATCCTGGCCCTCGAGCGAAGGATCTCGGAGCCTGACCGAGAAGAGGATCAGGAGCATGACGTCAGGATGAGAGAGAACATGAAAGTGTATGATGTTAACTGAACACAGAGAACTGTGAAAACTGTCTGCAGCCTGACTAAAGTCATTGCTTCCTTCAACAGCCTGAGCACAAGTCAGTGAACATCTCCAGCTTACCTCACAGGAAAGCACAGGTAAGCTACACTTAGTCACAGGAAGACACTGGAGAGGAGACAGAGACAGGGACTCTTTGAGACAGTCAGAAGTGCGTGCGCTGTCTCACCCAGTACGAGTGACGTGATGTAATTGGATATCTGGCCGACTCCTCTCAGACAGTTGAGGACACAGAACATGACCCAACTGACGGAGCTGGCCTGGATCAGAGGAGTGACTGTTTGTAAGGCCATGGTGGCAAAAAACACCGGCTTTCTGCCAAACCTGTGAGACAATACACAGAAACATGACATGAAGAGAACATGTGTGATCTGTGAGTGAACATCACATGCAAAAACCTAAAGATATTACAGTGGGCTCAGGTAACTCAGTTATCAATTAATGAACTGAGAAAATAAGCAGCAGATTAATTCACAATGGCAGTAATTATTAGCTGAAGCTCTGATTACAGTCAAATATACAATCAGCTTAAAGCTATTAGCAAATCAAATGTATCTAAATTTAACATTTCAGTTTTGTTGGTTTCAGTTGTCATGGACTTCCTCTCAGCTCCATTTACTGTACATTCACAGCCCTGGATGAAATGTTGGCATATGTTTCTGCACAGATATGTTACATTTGTATCATATCAGTATTTCTAAAGTGACATAGTTCAGATTACATGTATATGAGCTGAGTTTCTCATGAGGAGGAGCACATAGTGGGTGGTGTGACACCTCAGCGAGACCCTCTGCCAAGCAGCAGCAGCAGCAGCAGCAGCAGAAGACCACTCTTTCAAACAACAAAAGTTTGAAAGACGTCGGGATTTCCAGCCGTGTTTGTTGAAACAAATCAGGTTTTGTTTTTTTTTTAAACAACCAGGGGTTTTTTAATGAGATGTCAGGACATTTACGGCCAATTTTTTTGCGACAAACTGGGTACTTTAAGCCAAAACATGATCTTTTCCTGATAGTAACCAGGTGGTTTTTGTGTCTAAACCTAACACAGTGTTGTCACAACATAAAATTGAAAATCGAAACATAAGGAAACATATCTGCAACATATGATGGGTATGTTACAGCATACCCATGGTTTGAAGCCAACACATTCTCACTCCGACATCGTCACATATCAGCGTTTGGTTATGGACTTTCCACATCCAGATACGATGTGAAAGGTACCCTGGGTGTGTTGGTTGTTGATGCTCTGCCTGTTACATACATTGTCTTCTTTCAAAATACACTTCTGTTTTCACACGAAATTTAACATTTACATACAGTCTCTTTCAAAATAAAAGCACTACGTCAGTACAACAATGTGAAGTGACATTTTTTGCCAATCAGGAAAAAAGTAAATTTTTGCTTCTAACAAATGGAGAGATAGTTTACACTCTAAACACATGATTTTAACACTATTTTAACTTATGCAAAGTTTATTTTAGTCCGCGGTGATAGTGTTGATATTTGACATGAGACACCTGTGTGACAAGAACTAGGAAAAAAAGATGTTTTCTTAGAAAAATAATCCAAACACTGTTAATTGTCTCTTTATTATAAATGCAACGTTTCAGTCCGATAGACCTCATCAGTCATTTTCTGGACTATTTTTCTACACTTGACTTCAGTAGCAGAAACAGTTTGGCATCACTTCAGTGTTTTATGTGACATAAACAGAGTAGTTTCAACATCATCCAACTAAATAGCAAAAAATACTCATTACTAAAGCCTGGTGATACCTATATGTAATCGAAGTCTCAGCCAACTGTGAATTTTTGGACAGTATTTTCAATGTTTCTACATTTCCGTTATAAGATTTAAGTATCGCTTACATCCAGCATCATTTACATTTTACTGTCTCGCAGTCGCAGACACTTTCAGTACCTTTTCTTCACATATCATATGAAGTAGCCGACATTCATGTTCAGATGATGTTGCTTCTGATTAACACCCCCGCCTCTTTCATATGAACATGCTCATGGCTGGATAGAAAAAAACAGAGTTGACTGAACTAGCTGAGAACCAGCTTTGTACCACTGGTTATCCAGACGGACAGTGTTAGGGTTAGTCAAACCAGATAATAAAAAGATATCCTGGGTAAGTTGAACTGGTTTCATAGTACAGGCCTCTGAGCAGATTCCCAACAGATCGTTCGTTGTGTTAAACGTTGGCATGACTTCAAGTCCTTAATGGAATCATAATGGAACCACACAGTCTGTTTAATCAGAAACACACTCACTGACTGTGGTGTTTGGGTGGATGTTTGGCATTCCCTGCGTTTATGGTTTCTTATTTAAATAATAAATCACTCTAATGAAGGCCTTGTGTTGAAATGTGTTTCCAGGGTGAATGTGAAGAGATCTCCCTGCTCAACCTTATTTTCTAAACACATTCAGTAGCTCATTTTGACAGACATTTCTCCAAAGGACAGACAAGCTATAACTCCCCTTAAAACACTTTTGTCTCTGGTAGCTCATCCTGACAGAGCAGCTGTTTTATATTTGTACTTATTTTTGCACATTTTTTCCTTCTTGCTCGTGCATGCCTCTCCTTGTTTAAGTTGCCTTTTTTGTCTTAATTCATCATTAATTTCTCCATGTTCTGCAACTCGATATGACTACTATTATTTCTACACAACAGACTTACCGGTCTGACAGGTGACCAGAAATAAAGGATCCAATAAGGACTCCTACAAAGAATAGGGAGGTAGAAAAAGGGACCTTCCACGCACTGTCACACACCAGATCCCACTGTAATAAACAGGAGAGATGATAATCATTCAGGTTACTGCAAGACACATTTCAGAGACAGTGAAGTCGAATCTTATATAAAATTTTGGCTGACCTTGAGGTGTCAGAAAACAAAACAGATATAAAGATATACTTCATATGTTTTAGGGCAACACAAGTCATTCCACTTCTCAAGTGAGCAGAGAGCACAACACAAAGTCAGATAACGTTGGGACTCTTTTTCATAGATTACTAAGAAAAGCACCTGAAGTTGTGGGGCCACAAAGATTCTGAGAACACTCTGAGAGAGCTCCTAACTTAGCCTAAAAACTTCGTAAAGTGATTTAGGAAAGTTCTCAGAGCAACTCTGAGCAAGGAAGGGAGAGAAACTTTTACCTTAGTGAGGAGGTGTGGTTGACCCTGTTGCTAGGTGTAATGCTTGCTTTTAACAGATGTGATTGGTTGTCACAGACCTGCCCTTTTGGATGCACAGTGGAAATGAAATGAACTGCTGACTGTGAAAGTGTTGTCATTGTTAGTGTGATCACTCTGCTGATGGAAGGTTGAGACAGACTCAAGTCATCGCTGCTGCACTGTTGCATTTTTCCAGTTTTTTAAACATCTTAGTGTTGTGATCATTTTATTTCTGGCGTTATAGCATTATTTTGTTGGGTGAGAAATGTGTGCTCATCCTGACTGAGACCCCCTAATGCACAGTCTCATCTGTAGCATTTCAATTACTCCCTGTCATCCAGCATTGGGAGAATATTTCTCTGACCTCTTCGTGTTTCCACCATTTTCTCCTCTCCATAAGAAACTTTTGAGCTTCTTAAGAACACGAAAAGTGTGACAGCCATCCCCGGTCTCCCCTTCCTGATGTCCCACACCCATCACTCTGCATGTACATACCTCAGACACTATAGTGGCGGTGTATCTCTCCCGGCTAAAGACCCACCCATCCAGACATGGCTCTGTGTCGTTGCTGGGTCCCGCTGTCTCCGTCCAGTTTCCGTGCACTTTGTACCGGGAGCAGCTGTCAGGTCCGATCCAGCTGCTCTGCTCCACATCTGTGCCGTTACGCGTGGAGTTGCCCGACACTCTGCAGTGGTGCTCGGGCGTATCCGAAACGAAAACCACGATCGTTCCCGTGTACCCGCATGTGATTGTGCTTAAACTGAGCACAACCATGATGAGATACTGAAAGAAGCCGTAGTCTCCCAGAAAAGACGTGATTTCATCGAAGTCTTTGATGTTTCCACCCGACATGACTGAAAACACCGCTGATTCCAAGTGCGAGAAGTTCGACAGTAATACAGTGCGACTAATGCGCCAATAAACAGACACTAAATCGGGCAGAACCGGTTTAAAAAATAACCCTAACTAAAGCTCACTTGTCACTGCAACAATTCGAGACTTGCACATGCAAAGGCAAGGCAATGAGTGTCTAAGAATGGTGCTTGAAGCAGTAAAACCTGTTGGACAGATTTAATTCAGGTTGTGCAGGTTGTCTTGAGGTCACACAGATAGTGTTATCACACAGAGCACAATAAAGAAGGTCTTCATGAGGTTAGCTAAATGGCAACTGCTGGTATGTCTTAAAGAGACTTGTGTTTCCAGTGTTGCCCCTCATTCACAGGGAGTGCCTCCTCATTAATTTAAAAAAAAAAAAGTGGTGCAAGTACGAGCCCATCAACTGGTTCACCCCTCCTGCAAGTGAAGTGCATTCTGAGACACCAGGTTTTGACTATACCTTGTTTGACTGCAGTTTATTGCCGAGTCGCCACTTTGAGGCTGCTGATTTTCTGTCGTCTGTGTTACAGACTCTAAACATGCAACTCAAAAGTCACAAGGCACTGACAATAAACTGATAAACATGTCTTCTGTGAGTGTTAATGTGTGAACATGCACCTTCATTGTGGCAACACAGTCATTTTCAAAGACCCTTTTGAAGGACTCACCTTCTGGAGCAAAAGCAGGTGTCAAACATGTGGCCAAGTATATGGTATACTGGTGCTCTCTAGAGTACCAAGCTAGATGGAAACATACAAAGCTAAAAAGAATTCTGAGGCGAATGCCAGTCAAGCTGCTCGGTGCCGGGCTGTGAGTGCAGGCCCCACTAGAGGACATCGGGCCCTCATGCCACCCTCATGGTGTCTTACAGTTTGGTCAGAAACATGCACATCAGTAGCCTACTGGAGGTCATTTTGTAGGACTCTGGCAGTGCTCCTTCTGTTTCTCCTCACACAAAGGAGCATTTACCGGTCCTGCTGCTGGGTTGATGTCCTTCTATGGCTTTGTCCAGCTCTCCTCATGTAACAGCCAGTCTCCTGGTATCTCCTCCATGCTCTTGAGACTGTGCTGGGAGACACAGCAAACCTTCTTGGGACCACACGCATAGATGTGCTGTCCTAGAGGAGCTGGACTACCTGTGCAACCTGATTGGGCTGCAGGTACCGCCTCATGCTACCAGTAGTGACGAGGACACTAGCAGAGCACAAAGCTAGAGAAGAATCAGTCAGGAAGGATAAGGAGAGAGCAACTGTCTGTGGAAACCACATGTAAAACCATTGTCTTTTTGGGGGTTGTCTTGCTTTTGCCTCTCCATTGAATCTGTTGTCAGGAGATGCGTGGCATTCCACTGGGGGACCACTGCCTTCAGTTTACAACTTTCAATACATGTCTTCAGACCAGCTGACAAAATAACACCTCATTTCTCTTATGGTCTGTTCATTTATCTCAGCGTTGCACATGTGTCTTTGCTTTAGTCCTCAGGTGAAAGGTCAATTTTCCATGGAGTATAGTTCCTCTACAATGTCCATCCACTGTCCTGGACTCAAGAGGGTCACGTTTCAGCCAGTTCCTGGTAACAGCCTTTTTACATGCCAGTGTAAGGATTTTGAACAGATACTGTAAGTGTCCCTCTTACGAATAACATCAGGTATTAATCCCAAGTACACAATCCATGGGTCCCTTGGGATCTTGTAACCTAAAACTCTCTCATCATTGAGAATAATCCTGTCCCAGTTCTATCAGCCCTGATCTCATCCTACAAGATGCAGATGCACCCAGATAATTAGGAAATGGGTCCCAAAATCATTTTGCAGGAGGAGTATTCCCTTAAATTCTGTGGTACTAATATATCTCCAGTTCAGTCGGCAATCAACATTTTCCTATAGGAGCAGTTTGTTTGCAAATTAAAACAGGCAGATGACATCACACATAATACATAAGATAATATAAAACAGAACAGAGGGTGATAAATCCGTCAGAATAAATAAATGGATCAGGAACAGCCATGAAGAACCCACCACAGTAGTTGTGAACAACCACCACTAGATGGTGCAGCACAGCACAAAATAGACAGTGATGTGCTAGTGGGAAAGGTTCAGCTGCCCAGATAAGCGTTTGCTCAGGAATGAGGTCTTATAGTGTGTCTTATATTATTATTATATTATAATAATTATAAAGGTTGTGATAAAAGCAGTGGTGGAATAACTGCTAATAAATAATAATATTCATATTTTCCTCCTGTATTGGAAATACCATGTAAAAAAAGCAAATTATACTCTGTATAAACTGTATTTATACAGCACCTTTCAAAACACAGTTACAAAGTGCTGTACAATAAAACTAAACACATTCAAAACACCAGGAGAATAAAACAAATAGGCCAAAACTAAAATCAAGATAATAAATGGTCATTAAAATCAATAAGACAGCAATAAAATAGACAGACAGCTCAGATAAAGTCAGGATATGCTTTCCGATAGATGTATGTTTTTAGGAGAGATTTAAACGAAGCCAGTGACTCAGACAGCCTTATATCCTTAACTATTTTATATACACTGAGGTAGTTTAGTTCCGAGTTTTTTATCCTTTTAATTTGAAACTGATCTAATATTTCCTGCAGGAATGTAGTGACAGTAGGGAACCCTAACCCTCAAGTTAGTACCATAAAGTGTACTTAAGTACAATGCAGGAGTAAATATAATTAGTTACATTCCACCACTGAATAAAGGTTTTTAAATTTTTATTTACAAAACAGATAAAACAAAGCACCATTGAGAGACCTTTGATAATGTTGAGGGTTTTTTCCCCCTTAAACTTTACAGTCAAAAGTTTGAGTTTGGCTTTTTAAATTATAGTTTTTTTAAACAAGGAGTTTTTCCTTATCTGCTGTGAGGGTCCAAAGGACACAGGGATGTTGTATGCTGTAAAGCCCTGTGAGGCAAATTGTGATTTGTGATATTGTGCTTCATAAATAAAATTGATTGATTGATTGAACATATTCTTTATACTTAAATAATTAATTGTGGAACTATTCATAGCGTACATCTTTATAGAATTCATAGTGTGCGCTTTTTTTTAAATGAAATGTCTAACTTGTGTTTTATGCTGCTCTTTTAACAGCCTTTCTTTGCCTTTTTTTATTTTATTTTTTTTACAAGTTGATTTTGAGAGATTTGCACAATTCCAGTATACCTGTACTGTCCTGTACCTGTTCACACGGCAATAATTTAATGTAATGTAATCAAAAAACATTTATTTGGTCTTTATTATTATATGATTTATGAGCACAGATGTAAAAGGGTCAATTATACAGCAGTAAAATCTGTAACAAAGTCAAATGTACCCCACCTATAAAGGGGTGTCTCAAGCCTTGCCTCTCCCCTTCTGTTGTTTTGCTCCATTGGAGAGGTAAGCAACATTGCTCTCATAGTAATTTCCATGTTTTAGTTAAGCTGTTTATAAGTTCATTTTTCAGCCTAAATGTATTGTATAATATGTGAATATATTCCTGTATCACATAATTTGTGTAGGGGCTCAAGTTATTTGGTCATAATTGAGGAGGATTTTGTTTTTACTTTTGCTGTCAGGTATGTTTTCTGTGTTTTATTGTACTTAATTTAATGTAACATGGCCTCCCACGGAGCACTGTTGTGCTCTGTGGGAGAGGGGCTGGAGTTATATGGTTTTTACCTCTTGCAGTCAGGAATAAACGGAGCTCACCTCTAAAGATTTCCACGGTCTGGGCCTCTTCATATCAACACAACGCAGACAACACCAGAGTCCACCGGTTACACAAATAACAGTATAATTATGAATCTTTTGTTCCCAACAGGTAAATCTTTAGATTCCAACTAAATTATCAACCACATTAAAAACAAGTGTCAGGGTGGTACATTCAGATATTTGGCTTCACATGTTTGTGCTGTGTGTTGAACTGTTTTCAACAGTAGCATCAAATTAGTCATCAGATGTTCTGCATTCATGAGCATTTGTAAGAAGCCTTGCAGCATGAGATCATACTGTAATGGTTACTGAACTGGTGGGACAGTCACACATTTTACCCAGCTGCCACTGAGCAGCATCACATCGTCGTTCAGTCCATCCACGGTAACCCCTCTCCTCCTAAACACCACACCTTTGCCATTCTTCAGCCAGTGCCGTTACTATAGCAACGCCTCTCTGGCCAGCACACGGCAATGCCCTCTGACCCCTGGAGAGGAGACCTTTGGCCCGAGGGTCATCAAACGGGGTCAGGGGGTCAGCTCTTGCTAGAGGACAGTAAAAGCACTTCACTGATTGGCTATCATTTGCCCTTTCCATCCCCTCATCTATGTAATTGGCGTATTGACCAACTGGCCCTTTGCACATTGTTAGCAGCACCTTATCCAGTTTACATAGGTTGAGGTGTAGTGTGGAGGGTGGTGATTTTATTTATGTGCCTGCTAATGTTTTGTAAAAGGTGTGTTTGCCTCTTCTTCCTGCCTCCGCCTCTAATGATCTCTGAGTCATGGAGGAGGTAAATCAACTGATGAAGGACTTCTGAGATTCTGTCGACAATTTCGTGAAGCTGGCAGATGTTTCCTGGGCAGAGCCAGCTGAGTACGGCTCAGTCCACAGAGTAAAATGTTGGCATTGTGTGTTTCTGCAAAACACAGATATGTAACGTGTGTATGTTCCATATGTGTCATATCAACCTTTCTAAAGTAACATAGTTAAGATTACATGTATATGAGCTGAGGTTCTCATGAGGACAAGGAGGGGATGGTGGATGGCGTGACATCGAGGCTGCTGAGTAGTGGACCACTGTCAAGACTTTTCCAGCTGTGTTTGTGGCAACTAAGCAAGGTACTTCTTTAACAAGACACTGGGACATTTCCAGCTGTGTTTGTGGTCACAATACTTTTGATGAGACAGTGGGACATTAATACCTGTGTTTGTGGCAATCAAACCAGGTATTTTAAGCCAAACATCTTTTCCTAACCCTAACCAAGTGCCTAAACCTAACCACAAGATGGCTGCCAAGCAGGCTGCAGAGTAGCGGACCTGTGAATTTTACAGCTGTGTTTGCGTAAACATGAGTATTTTTATTGAAACATCAGGAAATTTCCAGCTGTGAGTGTGGCA